GTGAAATGTCATCACTGTCTGTTTCTGAAAATGCTCAGAATTAATTTCCTCTTATTAAAGACATTGTTAAGTGTGCATCAACTGGCTCTCACAGTGATCAATCTTCCTGCAGTCCCTGGGTAAGAGTAGGTTTAGAGTTAAATTAAAGGCTAAGTTTAGAAAAATATGTAGATAAAGGATAGTCGAATTAGGATTAGGAGTAGAATAATAATAATAGACTGACAATTTGGGTTAGAAGCAATTTGGGGGCTGAGGTGGTACATGGGAGGTTGAGGTGGATACAGGGGGAGATGTGGTGGGTGCAGGGAGACAGGGGCTGAGGTGGGTGCACGGGGGCTGAAGTGGGCGCAGGGAGACAAAGGCTGAGGTGGGTGCAGGGAGACAGGGGCTGAGGTGGGTGTAGGGAGACAAGGGCTGAGATAGGTACAGGGAGGCAGGTGCTGAGGTGGGTGCAGGGGGGCTGAGGTAGGTGCAGGGAGACAGGGGCTGAGGTGGGTACAGAGGGACAGGGGCTGAGGTGGGTACAAGGGTTGCTGGGGTGGGCACAGGGGGTTATTTGGTGGGTACAGGGAGAAATGTGGTGGGTGCGGGAGGAGTTGTGGTATGTCCTGAGCTGAGTCAATGGGGCAGTACTATTTATATTATTATATATTATTATTATATATAAAAATATTTTGCTGTCTGCCAGGCTGCTGCAGCTCCTTATCTTCCAGGTGCTCTTCAGGACAGGGCAGGAAGTGATGTCACTTCCCGCCCCCGCCTCTTCCTCCACACACACAGCACTGCACAGGGGCTGGAGATGATGTATGATCGCTGCGAGATCTCTCTGAGAAATGAGAAACGGTGACGGGAGGAGGATTTGCCTACAGAATGATATGTGACAGGGGGCCTGCAACATATCACTGGAATATGGATAAAGGCATGTGTTTCTAGCTGAGGAGATCTCTGATGTCCTCAGCCAGAGCATGGCTGTGCTGCCAGGTCCCTGACTGCCTCAGGCCCTCAGTCCATGACCAATCTGGTCAGTTCGACCCTGGCCATGGGCCCATGCAGAGCCTTCCTTGCTGTTAAAGATCTACCTCACCAGCCCACTGGCACTTAGTTCCAGCAGAGGGAGGGAAGAGACTGGGAGGCTCTGTGTTCCTCCAGCGAGCAGGCTGGTCAGAGCGTTGCTGTATGTTACCACGGCAACGCTCCAATTTGGTGCTGTGCTCGCAGGAGGACAGGAGAGTCGCAGAAGGACAGGAAAGTGAACATGCCACCACTGGACCACCAGGGCATGCAGCATTATGTCTCCCTCCCTGGTAACAGGCAAGACGAAGGGAGGGGGAGACATTAAAATAGATTTTCACATCTCACCCATCTATGCACAACATTAACCCTATGCACCCTTCACACCCAAACACACACCACACACTACACCACACACACACAGACTGCTCACTCACACACAACACACCCCTCACACACACACACACACACACACACTGCCCCCTTACACACACACTGCACCCATCATACACACTGCCCCCTCACACACAATGCCCCCACCCACACACACTGCCCTCCAAACACATTGTCCCCTCACACACTGTCCCCTCACACACACACTCCACCCCTCACACACACTCCACCCTTCACACACACAGCACCTCTCACACACATCACCTCTCACACACACATCACCTCTCACACACACATCACCTCTAACACAGACACTGACCTCACACACACACACTGCCACCCTCTCACACACACTCTACCTAAGACACACACAAACTTCCCCCACACACACACTGCACTTCTCACACACACACACTCAACATCTTTCACACGCAAACACACACGCACATATAACACCCTTCACATACACACTGAACCCTTCACACACACAATGCACCCTTCACACACATACAGCATCTCTCATACACACACTGCCCCCCTCACACACACTGCACCTCTCACACACACACAGCATCCTTCACATGCACACAGCACCTCACAGACACACATAGAAAAAAAACATAGAAAATGAAAAAAAAAGGAAAAAAATAGATTATAAAATTAGTTACTACTGGTGGGCAGTAAGGAAATTTTAACATCAAGAAAGATACAAAAGTTGGTGGTAGGCATTAAAAGGTTGACTGCCTCTGAATTAAACATTGAGGGTAGACATGTAATAGCATTTCTACAACCACTTCCCACCCTATTAAAAAAAAAAACAACCACACCTTTCACACCTCACCCTAATAGTGAGGGGTACAATAAAACTAATAACTTTAGGATCCCCCTATACTAGTCCCCCTTTATATTATAAAAGAGTCCAGCCACTAACCACGGATGGGAACTGCAGAGGCATAATAATGCCCTTCCTTTAATTTTGTTAGATAGATCTCTGCATACCCCGATAATTTATTTAATGTTTGTGGGCATCAGGTGACTATGTCCCACTACCACTGTTATTTCACAAACCCCATCCTCATGGCATGGCTAATTTCTAGCAACTGGGCAGCTAGGTCATTCCTATCAAAGCATGAGAGGGATACAGACAGAAGCAAGGATGAGCATGACAGTAGTGCAAGATTCCCAGAGCTGTAGTCATGGTGACTGATGCAAAAGTAGGCAGTTTTTTTCTAAAAACATTTCAGTTGAATACATAATGTCTCTCTTTGATAAAGAATATGTTGATTGCCAATGGGGTTTTCCGTTAAAACAAACCTGTCATAACGAGTTTAGTTTAGAGGAAATCAGCCCTAGCTGTGATAAAGAGTGAGTCATATATGTATATAGGATTTACGTTTAGGTAGTTAGGCTTGTTTTATATTTTTTTAATAACAACACTGTATGGAGAGATCATATGCTAAAATACATATAACTAGGTGCTAAATTTTACAAAGAACTACCTCAAATGCCCAAACAAATCCAATATAATAAAAAAGAGATTGCAGACTAGATTGCTCCTAAGAGATACACATAAATGTTTTATTAAACCACACAAGGTATAACAAACAAAAAGCAAAAAATCTAATGGAGCAAAAAATAAATTAAAATGAGAACAATAAGGCAAATAAATTAAACAATGGCAATAACCACAACTTACACAAGCCTATTCTGGCAGAAACACGAACCCCTAATACCCCCAACGTTTCGGCACCTCCTGTCTCCCTTTTCCTAAAGGTCATTTTATATTTTTAACCATACAGATATTCTGGTTTTCTACTTAGGCATATACTGTACTAATGTCACTACTGCTGCAACGTTATGGTGACATAGCCGTAACATTACTTTATCAGTTAAGGCCCAATAATCTCACAACATGGCTATTATGTGTTTTATCTCAAATGTGACATTGACCTAGTAAATTATTCTGTCAAAATGACTATCACAGAGCCAGGTTGGTGTGATCATGTGACTGTGCTTGATATCTGCATCCAGGCTAGGCAGATCCCCATTCTGCAGAGGCTGCACCAGTCTGCCTCCAATGTGACCCTAACTCGTGGCGTTCGGGTAGATGCTGGTCGCTTCTCACCAGGGTCCCTTTATAGCTCTGCCTCCTCTGATAAAGTTAGTGACGCAAACATACTTCTGTTGTCTTGTCAACTATGCGCGAGCACATTTTAGGGGGCAGTACTGACCAACTGACCACTCTCCGACCTCCTAGGGTTATTTAAACACATTTTGGCTTTTCTTCTGTTGTGGTTTTTATTTACTAGTTATCAGACAGTGCTTTTATCTTTTATTTCTCTTTGGCTATTCTGACCTTGTTATTGACTATTCTTCTTTCTATAATCCTTGACTATTCTATTTTGACACACACACACAAGATCACATATGCACACTCTGGATCCTCTGCACAAACACAGTAGATCATTTATGCACACTCTGGATCCTGTACACACTAGATCCTCTACACACTCAATAGATCCGGTATATATACAAACCGCACCATCTACACACACTGGATTCCTGATATACACACTCTGTATCCCCTATATACACACACTACATTCCCTAAACACACACTCTCACACACACTTCATCAACCTATACAGACATGCACGACTACAGCCCACATACACACACTTGCCCTCTATCCACACACACTCTCTCACTCTCTACATCCCATAGCCACATTACATGACAAACATAACAAAAGTGAAACTGACCTATTTACACAAAACACCACATCACAGTCAGCTCACTCTACACACATGTGATCCCACAAGCAGCCTCCAAACACAGGCAAAATATTCTTTTCTAGGTCCTTTTGTCCTCTAGTATCCAACTTATGGAGACACCAGAGACAATTACAAGCAAACACAGTGCAAGTGTGTCAATACATTTATATTACTAGAGTTGTAGAGCTTTTCACATGGTCTGCACTTGAAGAGCATTGAGCCAACATGCTCATTTCGACTTCTTTGACTTCCCACTGACTTTTTACACAGTCTGGCCTTGGGATCATGGACTCCATATGTGTATTCCTGCCCTCCCTTCCTTCTAACATGGCATGGGATATGGGAAGGCAGGTGGACTTGAGCAAACAATGTGGCTTGGTAAGACAAACTCAGTTTCAAGCTGATGCATAATGAATAGACAACTTGTTAATTTTGTATAGCTCATTGGCTATTTGCCAAACAAGCCTAACTTAATCCAAACCAGACTGTGTGCGAAGGCTTCAGTATGTGACTTTTGTTTAGTGACTATCTATTTTTTTCCATTTTAACAAGCATTTGTTGGGTCAGTTGCAATGCCAGTACAGCACAGTGTTTAGTGGACAGAACCACTATTTTGTTTTTAGTAAACAATTAGAGTGAAAAGCGTGGATACAAGAAACAGTAAACATAAAATAAGCTCTAGCTCTACAAGGTAAGCAGTCATAAAACAATTATCTAAAGAGGCAAGAAGTAGAACAAGTTACAACCACTGTGAACATTCTAATGATAAAAAAAAATTTCTGTCAAAGAAGGCAGGGCGGGAATGTTCCTAAGGCTTCCTGGGTGTGGATCAGGTTGTGTAACCTTAGCTGTAGCTGCAACATCTCTTAATCACATCTGCTTTGTTAAGGCTCACCTGCAAAAATCTGGTTTCTTCTTCAGCAGAAGCTTGAGTCACATATTCAGCGCTGTGCAATTTGCTCTCTATAATATAAAGAGGTTTCAAAGTTCAGAAGATCCTTAAAAGGAGCAGCAAGCAAGGATATCAAGAGAAGCAATGGAAGAACAAGATAAAACAGCAAATGGCTCACATTCTGAAAATGCAAATGGCAGCTGTACTGTAGACTCTCCAAATAAAACTGATAACAAAGACATACCAAATGGAACCACCATGGAACAGAGTAATGTAAAAACGACAATCCTAAAAACAACCATTGGTTCAGGGGGTGCAAAGATTGGCAGCAGGGCAACTATTCTTAGTTCATCTGATTTAAAAGGGCCAACCAGCCCTGGACCTGTTACTGACCACTCAGATTCTAGAAGGTCAGTCCGTGTTAGTGTAGGGTCTAACTATGATCAAGATGATGTACTGTGTGATTCTTGTATTGATGACAAGAAGAGAGCAGTTAAATCATGCTTGGTCTGCCAGACCTCTTTTTGTGATATCCACCTCAAACCCCATCTGGAAGGGGCTGCTTTTCGGGACCATAAGCTGCTAGAGCCCATCAGAGATTTTGAAGCTAGAAAATGCCAGTTGCACAGCAAGACTATGGAGCTGTTCTGTCAGACTGATCAAACATGCATCTGCTACCTATGCATGTTCCAAGAACATAAGAATCACAATACGGTCACAGTGGAAGCTGAAAAATATGTAAAGGAGGTGAGTGAACTTTTATTTGTTCTGTTAATCTCAACAAATATATGTATTTTTTTTTTTACATGTATAGGGATTGTGCAGTGCAGGATATACAAGATGTAGTAAAATGGAATATTAAGGAACAGTAAAATGTCTTGATGACTATACTTTGCGTTTTTCCGTCCATACTAAAATGTTTGAAGAAGACCTCGATTCTATTCAGAACTAAATCAAATCAGTTTACGAGTTTATTTGTATTTGCAAAGAACAGTGGATATGTATCATATTTAAATTGTTGTTTATTGGTTACTTTTTTTCCCCCCATACTTTATAATCCCTTTAGCAATCAAATTTCTCATGGGCCCACAATGAAATTGTATATTATACCATATAATGTTTTAGGCAAGAAAATCATCATCTATTTACATGAGGGAAATCTTTCTTGCTCAGAAGATGAATGCAAAATAGGTTTGAGATATGCTACATTTCTCACACTCTTTATTGTAGATCAGAGTCCAAAGGGAGTGGGAAAGAAATAAATTCCATTGATGGCTGTATAAAATACAGTGCCAGCCAGCTAAATGGTTGAGTCAGAAATTTAAAGCAATATAGTTATATCACTAGAGTTGTATAGCTGTTCACAAAAAATATATACACACTATAAAAGGTATATCTTAGTGAAGAGAAGTAATAAGACCTGAAGTTCTAGATATGTAGGTCAGGACTGGTATATTGTTGGACTGGAATATCAGTTATTATCTAAGAACAAGGAGATACATAGCCCAAGACAGTTTTCCAGTCCACAATTTAGGTGGTCTATGTCTTTCCAATGTTCTCCTTTGAACAAGTAGTTAGATTTATATTTTATAATGTATGCAATGTTTATTTATATATATCGTGACACATATTAACAGACTTACTAATATAAACAACTTCATAAGGTGATTTATGCATTAATGATTGACATGCATGTAATTTTCACCATTCTGAGGGTCTTTTTTAACAAGGGTTTTTCTTTTAAGGAGGGTTTTCAGTCATATTCAATATTTGCAGGTACTGGAATAAGTTTGGTACACCTTTATACAAAATGTCTTTGTTGGAAAATGTCTTTTGTAAGTGCATGCAAGCCAGGTACATGTGAGCAACGCATGCATGTGAATTTAGGGTGAGAGCATGGGTGTTTTTACGTGCCCCATAATCTATTCTGGGCTAAACATTTTATGGCTACAATTCTGGAGTGGGTGTGACTAGATAGGGAAATGTCTAGAGAAAAGTCATCAACTTCACCTTTCTTTCTTTGGATAGTAGGATTTTGCTACTAAATAGATTAATGGAATTATACAGATAAACAAATATAAAATATAATCAATGCAGATATAGGCTGTTATGTTAGTGAGAGATTTCAATATTTACTCACTAACACCTTAACACGAGTAAGTAAACTTAAAGGACCACTATAGTGCCAGGAAAACAAACTCGTTTTCCTGGCACTATAGTGCCCTGAGGGTGCCCCCACCCTCCGGGTCCCACTCCCGCCGTGCTGAAGGGGGAGGAAGGGGGTTAAACACTCAGCCCGGCGCTGGGGACTCTACTCCTCCGGTCATCATCGGTTGAATGCACATGCGCAGCAAGAGCCACGCGCGCATTCAGCCAGTCCATATGAAAGCATTCTCAATGCTTTCCTATGGACGCTGGTGTTTTCTCACTGTGAAAATCACAGTGAGAGGTGTGGAAGTACCTCTAGTGGCTGTCAAAGAGACAGTCACTAGAGACTGGATTAACCCTAAGGTAAACAGCAGTATGTTTACAGCAGGCAGGGTTAATACTAGATGGGCTTGGCACCCAGACCACTTCATTAAGATGAAGTGGTCTGGGTGCCTATAGTGGTCCTTTAAAGTTAACACACCAATAAGACTTCTAGCAGCAGCTTTAGCGTTTTAAACAATATTCAGCTAGAAATGTTACTTTAAACTTTTTTTTTTACGAGATAAGTTCATGCATGATTTTTGGTTACAGTTTAAAAAAAACTAATGGTAACTTGGAAACATAATTCCTTATTGTATTTTTTAAAGTCATTATGGTTTTGAATAAAAACATCTGCTGATAGGTTTTGTTTTTTAAAAAAAAATCACATTCACAGACATTGCAATTGCGAGTGTGACGGATACTTGACACAAACAATCATTGCAAAGCAAAGATAAACTGTGTAACTAGAAATTATTTTGTGTCTTAGGAAAAAGTGTCATTAAATGTATGTTTCCTGAGATTTTTGTTTGTTCTGAAGAGGTTAATTGAAGAGGCAGATATTCTGCTCAGATCCTGCCTGAACAGAGCAAGGGCTGAGGGCGTCTCCTCCATTACGACATTTCTTGAATGCTTCTATATAATAGCCTTAAAACTATAGCTGTTTTGCAGTCCCACCTAGGGTGTGCCGGAGCATCATTCAGGCAGACAAGTCACTTGCCTGCAGCTAAGTACTGCATGTTATGTATGCTGACATCACTTCGACCCCACCTGAAAAGATGAGAAGAGATAACTCGCAACACTGGTCTGTGTATGAAGGCAATTTCTAGTGAATTTAGTCACACAGGCAAAACTGGATAAAACTGGTGCAACATAAAATAAGAAGGGATAAGTAAAAGTGTTTTAGCAAACAAAATGCTAAAAAAAAACTAAACCTAGATATTTGTTTTTCAGACCTGAAAATGTTCTGTTGTCACTTCCATTCCAATTTTCACTTATCATATTTTTAGAACACAGGTATTTTACACTTTGATCAGCTTCAGGGCAAGATATTTTTTTACCATGTGCGCCCTGTCCTCTTACATCTAGTCCCCTGGTTTTCTTAAAACTCTTAGCTTTTTATACACAGGATGAGATTTATTTATGTGTTCAATTGTAAAAACTGGTCTAAAGTACTAAACATGGGGTAGTCACCAGGGAAACCAATGGTACCAGCAGGGACATTCCATCGGTAACTCATTCTCTTTTCCACATTCTTACACACAATATTGTCAGGTCTTCTATACTCAATGTCTCCTGGCTCATTATACACAATCCCCAGGTCAGGTCTCACCGTCACCTCAGGGCCTACTTACTTCCCAACTGTTGCGTTGTTGAGTGAATTGTTGTGTTCACTCCATTACACTTTTTATATTCTCTTCTCTTCTACACACTCTTCCCTTATTTCTAGTTATGTCTTTCAACTGATAAGAACATCATACTATTTCTAACCACATTTATTTCCTACCTTTTTTTAAGAGTGGCCTAATTGGTGTCTAGTGAAAGAATGGCTTGAATCAGTGTGTTCCAGAGGTACTCTCTCAAGGGAGTACTGTATTAAAGGGACACTCAACACTAGGGATAATGAAGCACTCTAAGCACCATAACCACTGTAGTCTAATTAAGTGATTATTGTGCAAGGCGTGCCCTGGCATCCTCCCAGTATTAGTGGTGTAACTTACCATGTGCCTTCCACTGCCTCACCTGCTGCCTGTCGGCTCTGCATCAAGTTAAGTCTTGTGGTACAGGGAGGTGTTGATTGGCTGAGCATACTCAGCTGACTCAGGCTGTTGTTGTTACGGTCTTTAGCATTTAATTTAATCTTCATTTATTTTGTGCATAATATAGATAATGCATTAAACAAATGTCATTAAATAAACAATACTTTCCACTGACAACCTTTTATTTCTTGTACCTTCCAGCATTACTAGACAGAAGCTAAAACATGTCAGTCACTCCTAGATTTTCAATTCTCTCAAATAGTGTTTTAAGACTACCCCATAATCCCCTGCTCAGATTAGGCATTCTGCATATTACAAATTTTAAACTTTGATTAAGATATAGATGATTCTGACCATTTGCAAATTGATGTGGTCTCCTGGTGCTGTGCACATCTCATTTTCTATTCTTCCAAATATTTAAATATATGGCGTGACATACAACTCTTCATCTTTCAACTTCCCATTGTCATATCAATATAATAGGCTTAGGTTTTATTCAGATGACTTTTCCCAGACAAAAACAGCTCAGCAGTGACGTTCAGCTCAAACAGGCCTCATGTGTGACTCCTCCGCAACCATCATAAATAGACATAAAATTGCTTTTCAGAATTATGAAGCTGAATTAGCCTGGAGAATGATGAACCTTTATAGTATATAGACACATGGGAAAACAGAAGCAACTTGGAAACAATGTATACATATATTAAAGTAACACTACAGGGTATTTTAGCATCCATTTTGTTAAGTATTTTGCAGACAATGCACTAAAATACTTATTCAAAAAAATGATAAAGGCATTTAAAAGGCCCATTATAGTATATTAATTCTGACATCTCAGCCATCCCTGATCTTCCATTGCTTCTAATTGAAGTTAGTGAACATGTGCTTGTGTGATATCATCATGACAGACCTGCCAAGTTGCACTATTTCCTTGAGTGACACATGATTTTCACACTAAGTAGAGGTTGATCCTGCACTCAAGAGAGGGAAATCAGGCCAATCTGATTTCGCGAAGCACCGTTCTCCAAAAGAGCCACTTCTCCTCTCTCCTGTTTATAGCATGTTTGATTTGGTGCCTATGTCATCCTTGGATATATGATTTTTACGCATTCCTCATGATCTCTTGCCTATTTTACCCAGGGTCAAGATGACTATTTGAATGTTCAGATTGACCAGCATTTCTTCATAGAGATCCATTGCATCAATGCATCTCTATGGGGATTTTTAGGCTATCCATGCAGCACTGGAATAGGAAGCACATCTAGTGACCATGTGAGTACTGCCCCTAGAGGTGTCACTAGGCAGCAATGTAAAAGGCAGTGTTTACAGTGCTAATACTGCAAAGACATGCATTGACACCAGAATCACTACATTATGCTGGTGACTATAGTGTCCCTTTAAAGTCTTCACCATCAGCAATACGGTGTCATTGTTTTACACAAAACAAAATACAAACACCAGAATCATCTTACAAATAATATTCTCTAATATTTGCTAATGCACCCCTATTTCTACAGGATGAAGAAATAAATTAAAAGTTACCTTTTTTATTTGCTCTTTTGATTTATTTCTTAAATTCAAAAGACAAAACAAAACAAAAACGTGAAAACAGCTAGTGTGCATTCGTATTGTTGATGAATTTCGGTAAAGTGTATAATTTAGAGTGCTTTAACACAAGTGCAACGTTTTGGAGATTTTAAGGTACCACTCAACAGAAATCTATACACAAAATTAAACATACCCAAGCAATATAGAAAAAGAACTCTTAAACTCATTTATCTATAGAGTAGGTTGGATACACATTAAAAGAGGAGTCTAAGCACCATACTGTAGACATTTTGCATTATAACAAAGTACATAGTGTTCAGAGCACCCTGAGCCCATTCTTATGTCTGAGAGTGGCTTATAGTAACATGGATTTTTAAATATCTCTACCGCTATAAAACATCCGACCAGACAGCATGCAGTACACACAGTAAGGAAGAGACTGCACACAATCCACAGTCCACAGTCTTCCTGATAGTGAAAACATAGCTTGGTTTGCTGAACAGTTGACCGGGCTGTGTATAAGCTGATTGCAGTTTGCTATTAGTTTATAGAACTGAGTCATTCATCTTATGTGAGTATTGGAACTGCTCTCCAGGGATAAACTACTTATGTGATAAGCCTTTGCTAGACGGGCTTATGCGATACGATCAGAAGGAGACACTGCAACTGCAGGCAGACCTACTAAGTAGTACACTGAGTTACATTGTAAAGGTTTTACGATATTTTTAATGCAGTACCTTTTGAAATTTCTTATGGGTGCAATGACTCCGGCTCTGCCTTCCTAGTAAAATATCAGAAAATAAACAAGCATGAGTTGTCCAGCCCTCATTAAGTGTTGCACACCTATTTTTGTTTATTCTTACCCCTTTAATACTTCTGTGTAAGCTGTATTGCAATGCTCTATGTAGTGCAGCTTGAGCCGGGCAACTGTACTTACTCTATGTAAGTCTTGACATTTAAAAAACCATTTGGAAATGCTTTATTATCACTAAAATAGTGTACAATCTCTCCAAAGGTTCTTTACAGAATTATTTAATACATGGAAACAGATACAATGTAATGTGAGCGAAAAAGTGGAATAGTGGTTGATGGAAGCTACATCAGGCCTGATTTGCTAAACAGCAACCAGAGAATTTTCGGTTAAATGCCCCAGGGAGAGATGTTAAAGTTTGTAATATACATTGCTGATGCTCTGCAAAACATGGTATGGGTCCCTGGGGTGGAGCATTTGGAGAGCAGGGTGGGCCAATGCTCCAACAGCACTTGTTGCTGTGTAACAGACCGGAATTTGGATTTAACTTAAGAGTTAACTAATTGGCACTCACCTGTAGCTGGTCAATTAGCAGACAGGCCTTTAACCCCTTAAGGACAGAGCTTCAGAAGCTTGTCTTTCACTTAATGACAACAGCATTTTTTAATTTTTTGCTGTTTGCGTTCAAATGCAATTTGCATTTTACAAATTTATTGCACCGGCGCATATTATATATCGTTTTTTAAAGGACAGAAAGGGCTTTAATTTGATGTAAGATATATATATATATATATATATATATATATATATATATATATATATATATATATATATATATATATATATATACATATCTATATGTATATATATATATATATAAATGCTTATTTATTATAAAAAAATACAGAAAAATGCAAAAAAAAAAATTGTGTTTTTTTTTACAGTTTTTGCAATAATAATGTGTGCATAATTAGTGCAGGTTAAGAAAAGTAATTAAAAATAAATTCATTTAGTTGTTCTGATTTACAGAACATATAATGTGTCTAGGATTTTAAGTTTTCTTTGGTAGTTACAGGTCACAAAGCACAAGGAGTAAAATAAACTTTTAATGTGGAGTGATTTTAGAATTTGGTATGTTTGTCTTGTAAGCTTAATAGCCATAAAAGAAAACAAAATTGCCACACAAAAGTATATATTTATATAAAGTAGATATCACAGGCTATTTACCTAGGGTTGTTTTGACATTTTCTACGTAGCCATTTCACCGCCAACCTCTGCTAAATATTGGAGTAAAATTGTGGGGTTTTTTTTGGTTTTTGGCACACAAACTTATAACAAATAAATTCTCATGTGTATTTTGTAAAGTTGGTGTGTGCTGTTCCTGTACAAAGTTTTATTTTGTAGAATAATGAGCCTATGCTTCCATTTGGGGTATTATAACAGTTTGACTGTTCAAAAAAGCCCACAAAGGCCTACCATTTGTAAAAGTAGACACTCCAGGGTATCTCATAAGGTGCATATTGTGCCTTAACATGCTCCCATTTTTTCACCAATATATGCCAAAGTATGTGATAAAAAATTATTTTGTGTGTTTTTTACATATGGATTGCATTTTTTTCTGGCCATTTTGTATATATCACATGTGCCACTAAGTTCAAACCCCCCAAATTATGCTCTGCTAAGTTTTCTGAGTAAAAAGACACCCCCAATGAATGTCTTTGGCACTATTTCGTGAAGCTACAGTGCCATATAGGAGACCAAGCCATATCAGTTTTTACCGAACTTTGAATTTTGACGCTGGCCCTATTTGCAATTTCCAAGCATCTTAGCAGGGTTTAAATTCAAACTACCCTACAAAGGCCTACCATTTCTTAAAGTAGACACCCCAGGGTATTTCAAAAGGTATATTTTGAACCTTAGCGTGGGATCATATTTCCGCTAGCTTGTACCAAGTGTAGTGGTAATAAGTGTTTTCTTCTGCCTTTTTGACACACAAAGTGAGTTTGCACAGTATATTTTGCAAACCTTATGTGTGCTACGACTGTATAATACTTCATATGTTGCTCAGCTATGTCGTCTGAGTACAGCAATACCACCGTATGTACCTTTGTCAGGTATATGTGGATGTTGAAGGGGCACATTTGAGACGCAGCCATTCAGTTTTTTTCTAACTTTAAAGTTTTACGCTTTGTCCATGTTCCAATTTGGAGTAGTTTAGACGGTTGGTTATTGAAACTTTCCCACAAACACAAACTATTTATTAAGGAATACACCCTGGGGTAATTCAAAAGGCATATTTTGAACATTAGCGTGGGATCATTTTTTCTATAGTTTGTTCCAGGTGTAGTGGTAATGAGCATTTTTAAATGTATTTTTTTACTTTTTGAAACTTTTTTACTTTTAAAAACTAGTTTTTAAACTCTTGTTTTGCTTATTATTTTTTTTTAAACTTTCCTAAACTTTCTTAAAACTTTTTTGAAATTTTTTTCTAAGCTTTTTTTTTACCGTTAATCCCTAACTAGCAGTAAGCAGCACTAACAGTAAATTCCCCATTTTCCCATAACTCCCACCCACCCCAGCTAGCAAAATATATAATTATAAAATATTTAAATTAATTAATTAATACATTGAACCCCTGAGGGTTAAAAAAATAAATAAAAGTTAATCCTCTGGGGTTAAAAAAAAAAATTAGATCACAGTATAATACTGTGATCTGTATTTTGATCACTGTAGGCAGTGATTGACTGGCAGGGAAGGGGTTAATTTTTATTTGGACTGGGTAAAGGGGGGGGGGTTATTTTTTACTTAAACGTTATTACAACGTTAAGTAAGTTTATTTTAAAACTATTTTTAACGTTAACCCCTAGTTAGTCTAACACCAAATCCCCCAATTCCCCACTAACTTCCACCCACCCCAGCTAGCTAAATATTTAATTTTAAAATATTTAAAATTAATTAATTAAATAAATTTAACCCCTGAGGGTTAAAAAAAAAGAATTAACCCTCAGGGGTTAAACAAAAAAATCAGATGACAGTAAAATGTAATCCCTGCCAATTGTAGTCAGTGATCAATTGGAAGGGAAGGGGTTAATTTTTAATTAAAATTAGTAAAGGGGGGTGGGATTTTAAATAAACTTTATTTTTTTTTAACAGGGGGCAGGATCAGCACTGTTCCGGCTCCCTACACTTCACACAGAACCAGGAAGTGCAGGAAGGTGGAAGGTAAGTATACTAAGCACGTGTGCTCATTCTGACATGATGTCAGAGCGAGCACATGTGCTGGGGCAGCACTATCGGGTGCTCCCGGTCTGCCTCTAATACAGAGGCAGACCGGAGCACCATTAACCCCGTGATCGCTGTGATATCGTCGATCCAGAGTTAATTTTAACGGGTGATGGACAAGGTCTGTCACTCGTCGTTATGGCAATCCCTTAAATTGACGGACCTCGTCCATCACTCATCGTTAAGGGGTTAAAAGAAGAGATCAGCCTGCTGCAGAGTGAGGGAGAAAAAGCCAGTGAGGAGAGGAGAGGGAGAGAGAGAGAGAAAGAAAAAGAAAAAAAACACCCAACAATTGTGTTTATTGCAAAGCTATTTTGTTTTTTGGGGAAAATTGGTAAGTGGGAAAGCCACCCAATTACAGATAGTGATTTCTGTCTAGTAAGAGCTCAAGTTAGAGCAAGGCATTTTGTTTTGTTTATTATTACTTAACCCCTTAAGGACACATGACATGTGTGACATGTCATGATTCCCTTTTATTCCAGCAGTTTGGTCCTTAAGGGGTTAAAGCAGCTGTTTTTCCTATCAAATAAAAAAGGAAAACCGAACTGAATGTGTCCCGGACTTTGTATACCCTTGAAGGCTGTGATTTATTGTAAGATATGTGACAAAATCCTACCTGTAAAAGATGTGGTTTGTTACAGTAAGAACCCTTTAACAACAACCTATACAAAAAAAACTGTTTTGTATGGATTTATGAGACAGCTATTTTTTATATGTTTAAAAGTCAATACAAACTTTATAATTATTTTACTAAAAGAAGAAATGGTAGCAAAATGGTTAAGACCAGAAACACTCTTTAAATAAGTAGACACTTCTATTTAGCTTTGTCGTGTGTGTGTTTTTTTTAAATTGTAAATACTCATTAAACTAGCCTTTTAAGCTACACACATTAAACAGCATTTTAAACATTTTAAAAGGTATTTATCTATTTGGAGTTAGGGTACAGGTATAACAGGTGACACAATAGAATTTTGGCAAACAGTATTTCTTTTCCAGTTGTCTTACTGTGCTTTCTGTTTGATGTTAGATAGATACTAATTGTAAATTAGCTGTTCATCAATGAGCTCAACCTAGGTCACTTGACACCTGGAGTGGATAGGTATATTGACACCACCCCTGTTGTATGTTGTTGACACCCACTCATCACTTTGTGTTTATCTCCTAATACTTTTTTGTGTTTTCCTTAACCCTTTTGACCATCGTATGTGTCTCTTAACCCTTAACGCTTGTCTGATTCTTAACCATCTTACTTTTTTTGTCTCCCCAAATACATCCATAATAGCATGCATTCATAATGCATCACTTTTTCTGGCTCCCATTCCCATTTGGTGAGTGCAAACTCCATTGTTCTTTACTACACACATACACATACATACACATACACGTACATACTTTTCGACATATAGCTACTCATGCACAATCATATATAGTGACACTCAGCCACACTCACGCACACGCTATGTCACATACAGTCGTATGCACACAGTCACACACATAATCACAGTCACACACACAGTCAAATGCACACAATCACACACAGTCAAAGGCACACAAAGTCTTGGAGGAAAGACGAGATGGTGGGATATGATAGAAACATTTAATACATAAAAGGAATCAACATAGTAAAGGAGGAGACTATATTTAAAAGAAGAAAAACTACCACAACAAGAGGACATAGTTTTAAATTAGAGGGGCAAAGGTTTAAAAATAATATCCGGAAGTATTACTTTACTGAGAGGGTAGTAGATGCATGGAATAGCCTTCCAGCTGAAGTGGTAGAGGTTAACACAGTAAAGGAGTTTAAGCATGCATGGGATATGCATAAGGCTATCCTAACTATTAGATAAGGCCAGGGACTAATGAAAGTATTTTAAAAAATTGGGCAGACTAGATGGGCTGAATGTTTCTTATCTGCCGTCACATTCTATGTTTCTATGTTTCTATAAGTTGCATGCACACAATTACACATATAGCCACAGGAAATGGTACACAGTCACATGCACACACATACAGTCAAACACCGTTATACATACAGTCATAGACACACAATTAGCCTTCTACCTTTAATGGCACCAGATGGGAGGTTGTAGTGGAGTTCTAGTCCCTGGTGTCTAGTGGCTGGAGATGGGAAGCAGGGACTCCTCCCTTGGCAAACTGCAGTTACCAGGCAGCGGGTTCAAGCAGCATTTAACTCCTCCCCGTTGCCTGTAAATGACAGGCAGCTGCTCCTCGCTGTCCCTATTAGACCCAGGTAAAGGATAATGAGTATACAGTGCAGCCCATCTCCTCGGTGCTGCTTTGGCTCATGAAGAAGCCTTAGTCTGAGTAGGAATCAACTGCTGTGATTTGCTGAGTGTCAGCAAACTGATTCTGTCATATCAAGGTGTCCATTGCTGATAGGGATTAGTATTTTTAGAAGGAAGAGTGCAATCTATGCTTTACCCATGCCTCCAGTGGGGCAAGGCTGTGAGTGGCCAGGGACCTTTATTTAGTGTTCTTGAAAATGGTTTAACCCTTAATGGAGGAACAGTGCCAAGGGACTCCAGTCAATATAAACAATTCAAATAGTGCTTACAGTGTCCCTTTAAGTCTTAAACCTCAGTTTGGGATGACTTTGTACCCGATTTGGTGAGACTTCAGTTAGGGACAATTTAATTACGGATTTATGTGGTGCAATCTACAGATTTCTTTCTGCACTGGAGACTCTTAATGTCCTGAATAGCTTTAAATGCTTTCCGCAAACTAGCTACTAAAAATCTGGAGCTTCATAAATATCCCACACACATTTTATTCAGCATTTAACAATACACAGACCAACTTTCCAGACCCCAAAATGAGCCTAATGTGGAGATACATTAAGACACAAATAGTCACAACCAAAAAAATTTATGTGAAAGTGCATTCCTAGATAACTTAGCCTTGTAGGCCACACCTGCATTTTTTTACTTAAACATATTTTTCACATTTGAAGTAAAACTTTTAAATCATATTTACTATGACATTTTAAAAATGTACTGCTAATTTCTAGTAAATGATTCTGTGGTGAAAATAACCATATCGGTATTTGAATTATTTTCTCTTCGGCAATGTCATTTTACTAAGAAAAGTGAATGTGACTTTTCATTGTAAACTGTGGAATCACAACCTAATGCTTCAACTATGGAATTCTAAGTTTAAAACCTTAGTAAACAAAGTGTCCACTTTAAAAATCCATTGAGTTCCACCTCCAATTTTTCTCTTTTTTTTTAATAAATAGACATAAAAGACAGGTGGGGAAGATCTCCATTATGCTTTTAGCAAAGAGGGCTGAAACCTTATGTTTCGGAATGCATGTGGTTATTAAGCACTCCAGAATTGACACCACACGCAGACTGAAACAAACATGGACATTTCGCAAGCCAGACATCCAGACCTTTTTATTTTATACTGTGTTTATCCTGTGTTGGGTTTTATATGCTTAAAATATATAATATTTGAATATATGAAGTTTAGGTTGTTGTCCTCTTATCCAGAAATCGAGATGGAATATGTTGTAGACACATTTAGATGCCTAATACTGATCCTCATTATGGCTCTAATAGATGTCAAAGGTTTCAAATAGAATTCTAAAGCTTATTTGCTTAAATTTGACTATGTCTGTGTTTTCTTGTATTTATTATTTTTAGCAATTTTAGCATTTGGCATTTGGACATAATACAGGAATTTGAAATAAAAGTTGTCCTAGGTAAAACATGGAATTATAAGTAATTAGAAATTAGAATTATAAATGGTCCCCTAGATCTGTGTGTGGAAGGCACATGCTCAATACAATTACAGTTGTCCCAGGGACACTTGCAACAGCAGGATAAGTCAGTGGTTATGGCTCTGTATGATGGGTGGAGGATAAAAACTCATTTGTTAACCTATATTCATATATTACCCATTTACTGGAAGAAGGTGTGGTAGGACGGCTTACTCTAGTTTTACGCCCTAAAGGAGACTGGATGTAGGCTAATGTAATTATGCAGAAAAATGCACCTTTCAACATTTCTGCTTCAAAGCTTTAGTTTGTGAGTTTGGGTGCAATCTTTTACCATCTTTTTACACCACATATAGATTTGACTGTTAGTCAAAACCCACATAGATCATAATAAATGGAGTGATTGCATAAAATGGAGCATAGGAATCATATCAGGTTAAAAGGATATTTTGCTTATTATTATTTTCATTATCCCACAAATCATAATCATACAGTTATTTATTAAAGGGTTAACTGTCAGGAATTCAAAGGGAATTCAAACTGAATATAAACTTGTGAACAGTGAATATTTAACTAGCATTGTACACCCATGAACACCAATGGTGCCAAGGTTTCGGTGCAGCTAAGACTTTATCAAGCAGCAATGTTTTTAAAAAAAGAAATAATAATTAGTAACAACATAAAATTAATACCAAAAGCCAGTGCACAACTAAATGTGAAAAAACACCACAATACTTAACATTAGCATTGGCATGTGATTCAGTTTTATCTGAAAATTGGAACCATAAATATATTATGTGTTATGTCTGAAGGCTACAAACGCTCTATTAAAAAAAAAGAAAAACAAGTAAAAAAAACCCCATACATAGTGTACTCAAATTTAAGCAAATAAGCTTAAACAAATTCTATCGGGAGTCATTCACATATATTAGAGCCATAATTAGACTCTGTATTATGCACCTAAATATGTCTATAACATATCCCATCTTGATTTCAGGATACAGGGGACGACTGATTAAACTTTGTATATTCAAATTTTATAGGCTCCAAACCCTGTGTAAAAAGTGGACCAATAAATCTCATTGCTGGATTGCCACTTTACGTAGGGATAAATAAAAGTATTGTACACACACGTTTCACCAATGCTGTCTTCTTCCTAGTGCATATTTCGGTGTTGTCCAATATTTAAAGTTTTCCTTTTTGATATGGGCAGCAGTGAACTCCATACAATAAAATATCCTTATTGTTCATAATGTATACAATTATATAGTTCTTACCTTAGAGCAATCCAAGGTCACTTTATCAAGTATCCAAATAGGATTATTTATCTTATAAAAAAATCTCATAAATCTTCCAAGTAGTAATAATCACCCATCAATTTACAATTCATGAGAAATGCTCCATACGTTATACCTTCAATAAATATCTCATTTTGTATATATATTTTAATCCTAATAGCTATTGAAGCATGTATAGTCAAAAATGTTATTAAATAAAAACTTTTGTTTACATTCTTTTTTGTTCAAAATCTAAGTTTAAATTTTAGGAAACAAAGTCTCCACTTTGAAAATCCATTGGGTTCCACCTCAGATTTTTCTCTTTTTTATAAATAGACATAAAAGACAGGTGGGGAAGATCTCCATTATGCTTTTAGCTGAAACAATATGTTTGCTGAAACAAACACAGCCCACTTTGTGAAAATCGTAATGGAATGCATGTGGTTATTAAGCACTCCAGAATTGACACCACATGCAGACTGAAACACACATGGACATTTCGCAAGCCAGATATCCAGGCCTTTTGATTTTATACTGTGTTTATCCTGTGTTGGGTTTTATATGCTAAAAATATATAATATTCGAATATATGAAGTTTATGTTGTTGTCCTCTGTATCCGGAAATCGAGATGGGATAAATTGTAGACACATTTAGACACATAATACCAAGCCTCATTATGGCTCTAATATGTGTCAAAAGTTCCAAATAGATTTCTAAAGCTTATTTGCTTAAATTTGACTATGTATGTGTTTTCTTGTTGTTTAACATAGCAATATTAGCCTATGGACATAATACAGGAATCAGAAATATGTGTATGGTTTTGATTGTCAGATAAAGCTGTATCGCATGCCATTGTTAATGTTAAGTATTGTGTTGTGTTTTCCAATGTAGTTGCACACTGACTTTTGATAAAATGTTTATGGGTAGCAGGACCTTTATGAAACTTGAAATAGACTCTACTGAGCCAACATTTCTTAGCAGGGATTTAAAGGAAACCTGTAACCACTTACATTGGCCTCTGCGCCACCGCTGCAATCTCATTAGCGCAATCTGTCTCTGCTCCTCCTCTGCTGCTCTCCAGTACGCCCGAGATCCTCCTCTGCTCATCACTGTTTTGCCCTGCTTTGGGACAGTTCCCCAAGGAGGGTAAACTTTTTCAGTGACGCCAATACGCTGGTTTTATCGCCAGCCTGCCAGTGTCTGAACAGAGTGATGTCCTGTCACTTTGTTCCTATATTATCTAGCCAGCACTAGCAGCACTGGCTAGGGAGATTCCATGGGTGAAGAGCAGAAGGACCTCCTGAAGGAGGTCTATTCTGCTCTCCTTTATCAACCAATTTTCTTTTTTCTCCAAATCTCTATATTTGTTAACAAAACGACTAGCACAATGTATAGATGAAATTTAATTTTAAAGAGCTAAAGTTGTTTTGTGCACAACCAGTGCCCTTTAAGCTCATATAGTCACCTACTTTGCTGAACTTTACTAGAGAGTGCAGGTTCATGTCAGTTTCTATTAGCTGCCTTCTCATGCTTTTGTGGCAGTGAATATCTTTAATGTGAATTTACTGAATATAAGACATAGTGGAGATTAGTTTGCAAGGCAGCTATTTACCCCTCTGCATTTTTAGTATTTGTGTCATTAGAACATCTAAATATACTCTTTTCTTTTTTTTTTTTTAACAGAAATTCCATATTAAATAATTTAAATGTTATCTTTCATATGTTGGAATGTTGTCTAAATAGATCCATAGAATGCTAGATTTGCTGTAATATATATTTAATGTTTTTTTTGTATAAAATGCTTAGGTTTATGTTCTGTGATATGATGCTGCAGATAAATAAATTTGAGAAGGTGAAATATTATTTCGGCATTAGTGCTTATAAAAAAAATATATTACCAGATTTCTAATTGTATTTTTTTTTTCTCTCAAATTTAGTCAGAGCTCTCCGAAATTCAAGAACAGCTTCATCTCCAGCTCCTGGATGTGGATGATGAAGTAGAGAAATGGCATAAGGAAAAAGACCGTATCAGAGTAAGATCAAAAATCCTCACATTTACTGTCAAACTTGCTACATTCTCTCTCCATTCTCTTAAATATGTATCGCATGCCATTGATAATGTTCGAGTGTTATTTCCTTCTATTGGTCCAAATTATGCTTTACAAGCATCCAGTTTAAATCATACTTCACACCCAGGGCCGGACTGGGGAAAAAATTTGGCCAAGGCATTTTTGAACCACTGAGAAGGGGGCAGGCCAGAGAGGGGGGGGTTCATCTCCAATGACAAGCACGCCCCCTCTCATAGTGAGCAGGTTGGCTCAATCCGCAGAGGCCTGCTGAAGAGCTCTTGCATGAAAAAAGGCCCTGTATTTGTTCTATGCAGGGCAAGCAAATTTATTAACATGCTTGTGCTGTGTTTGCTTGTGACATTTCTCCGGTGTCTCCATAAGTGGGATACCAGAGAACAATAGTCTAAGGAAAGCGTATTGTACATGTGCTTAGATCCTGCTTGTGGGATTGAGTGTGTGTAGAGTTAGTTCATTGTGGTGTGGTGTTTTGTGTAAAGGTCGGTTTCATTTGTGTTGTTTGTGGTGTAATATGTATGGCTGGGGGCTGTAGAGAGTGTGAGTATATATGATGTAGCGAGTGTGTGCATAGGGGCTGTAGTGTATGTGTGTATAGATTATGTACTGTGTATAGGGGTTGTAAAGTGTGTGTGTTTAGGGAAAGTAATGTGTTCTTGCTTAGTGTGTTCATAGGGGATCCACAGTGTGGATGTATTTAATGTAGTGTGTGTAGGTGGTGCATTGTGTGCATAGGGGATCTAGTGTGTGTGGAGAACCCAGAGTGTGCATAGCAGATTTAGTGTGAGTGTAGAGGATTCAGAATGTGTATTCTAGTGTGTAGGTGTGTAGAGGATCCATAGTCATGTATGGGATCTCGGGTGTGTCTGTGAATGGTGCAGTGTGTGTGTGTGAAGGGTGCAGTGTGTGTGTGAGGGGTGCAGAGTGTGTGTGAGGGGTGCAGTGTTGAGGTGCTGTGTGGTGTCTGGGGTGCAGTGTGTGTGGAAGAGGTGCAGGGTGTGTGTTTAAGGGGTGTTGTGTGTGTGTGTGAAGGGTGCACTGTGTGTGTATGAGGGGTGCAGTGTGTGTGTGAAGGGTGCACTGTGAGTGTGTGTGTGAGGGGTGTAGTGTGATGTTTGGTGTGTAGTGTGTGTGCAGCGGGGTGTAATGTGTGTATATGAAAGGTGCAGTGGGGTGATGAGGGTATAGTGTGATGTCAGGTAAAACTAAAAAATATGTTTGTGTGTGTGTTTGTTTTTATTATTATTTTTTTTATTAATATAATATTTATGTCCCCCCTCCCTTCTTACCTTTGTCTGGGAGGGGGGACCTTGTTGCCAGCCCTGGTGGTCCGGTGTGAAATCCTTGGTGGTCCAGTGTGGAGTGAACTCTACCCTGTAGTTACTGGGATAGAGTTCACTCTTGCGAGTTTGGAGCATTGCCATAGTAACCGCAGCCACGCTCCGACCTCGCGAAAGGAACCCGGCAGAGCTGCTGGATAGAGCTCCACTGGGTCCTCTCTCCCTGATTTGTCCGGCCGCATCCTCCCTCCCCCGGCCACATCTCAGATAGTTTGTCTGTGAAGGCACACAGCAGGGCCGGCGCTCTCATGGTATATTGTCCTTAAAAAGCTAGTCAGCTTGTAACCTATTCCTTCCAGGTCTGCTGCCTGGTTCGAATTGAGAGGGGCCTAACAAGAAGGGTTGGGGCCTAGTGGGGAACACCTTGACAATCTGCCTCTTTGCACTTACCCAGAATTGGCCATGCTTCCAAGGGTTATGAATGAGAAGCCTCTGATTACCATTTCCCTGTGAAGAGACTAAAAGTGTATTTTCTGGAAAAAATTGAAGATGCATGCATGAAAATACATTCATTTTATATATATATAAAAAATTCTAATAGGTTTGCACTCCTGGTAAAGCCAGTGGTTTCTATACCCGGTGCTGGTCTAACAAAAATACAAATTCAAAAAACACTGACCGCACTTCAAAGACTTGTAAGGATATGTTTGAAGTAATACTTAACTTTTATTAATTCATAGTTAAATAAGACTTCTTTGACAATGAATTCATAAAAGTTAAGTATTACTTCAAACGTATCCTTACAAGTCCTTGAAGTGCGGTCAATATTTTTTGATTTTATATATATATATATATATATCATTAAAAATATGTTTTACATACTAAATAAAAAAAGAAGGAAATAATAATAAAAAGGATAATCTTCTACAATGTCCTGTTTTTAGCCTTCTGTCCCTTTTCTCCTCCATGCTGTTTGAAAGAGATCCATATCTCTTATTATAGGCAGCAGCAGGTAGGAGGGAGCTATGTCCATGCAGCTACCAGGGTTATTAGAGGTCAAGGCAGGTGTGCTCACAGCAAAACTGTTTGCATGGAGCTCAGTGGTAATGAGCGTAAGGACTCAGAATGTGAGTAGAGCCGAGTTCTACTCAGTCTTTAACCGGGACGCTCCCTATAGTGACTTTCACACTGGTAGTTCCTGGAGGAGTGTTCTACTTTAAACTTTAAACATTGCTCTTGCTATGAAATAGCAATAGTTTACACTGCAGGACAAGAATGACAAGTTCACAGCACCAAGACCCCTTCATATAGCTGAAGTGGTCTGGGTGCTTACAATGTCCCTTAAATTAGTCTACCCTTCCTTCCACCCTCCTATTAATAGGGGAGTGTTTTTGCCCATTCCTGGGGAAAGCCCAAATTCTATATGTGGACAGTAATAATAAGTATGTAATTGTTCTATAAGGTCACCTAAACAAGTCATCTAGCGCTCTACACCTACTTCAGCAAGATAAAGTTAAACCTGTCTGATGTCATGGAATGGTTTTATGGATGGCAATTAAACTCTTGTAATAAGAACAAAAAGCTTCCACCTTACTTTCATATGTCTATGTGGGAAAATCCTATAGCTTTTGAAGCTTAGCATAAATCTGTCTAGATTTTCAGTTTTGTTATGAGCATGTTTTCCCCAGATATTTATCCATTTATGTATTTTACAGTGATTTGCAAAAGATCTGTAGAGTGGGTAGTTAAAGTGAATAAATCAAAGTTTACAATCCTTGTTGCACAGGCCAGAACATTCAAAGGGGCACTGGCAAACATTTAAACAAGTAATGTTTATGACCTTTGAGGATTAACTTTTCCACAAGGCTATGACTTTTCCATAAGGCTGGAAATGTTACGTTAAATGAACACAGAGACTAGGAGTAATACATTCTATTCTACTAAAAGCCTCTCATGTAATGATACTGTAAGTGTATACTCAGCTCAGCTACTTAGAGATTAGTGTCTGTTAGATTACTCACATGACTGATTCTCCATTCTATCTCATTTCTCTTTAGCATGGCTTTGGTGTATGATACAGATAGGAATAAGATAGTGATTGACTGTGGGACAGAGTCAAGTCAGTAGCTGATTTCAAACATATTACACAGTCTACCTTTTAACCAGGCAGACATTTTGTGAAAATGGAAGACATGAATGTTGCTTAGCAAAGAAAAATAAATAAATATTGGAATGTAGAGAGAAACACAGCATGAATTTCAAAACCTGTGTTGGTGTCCAGAGGGATCCCTGAGATACTCACTAGAGTAGAATAAAGCAGCTAAGCTGCCTGTCTGTCTCACACATCATGCTCAATGATCGGGTCAGATGAACAGAAATGATTGAACATCAGTCTACAACAAAGGGTGCCAGTGAATATCAGAAATAAACCAAACAAATGAGGGTCAGAGCCTAAAAAAAGGATTATAACCTCACTAAGATTACCTCCAATGTTAGAACATTCTTAGGTAATAGCAAATAACTTTATTAGTAACAGAGAATCAGTAACATACAAAACACACCAAGTGCCCCCCAACAAAAAAGTGAGGTGATTTAAAGAGTCAAGATCTAGACTACTTAATGCAGTTAAAAAGTATGGGGAGTCCCGTGTTAAACTGGGATGTCTACAGCAAGGCTTACGTCACTAAGTGGTAATTTCATATAACAAGCAACCATAGAAGTCTTGTATTTAAATCCCTCAATACAATGAATAGATGCACTAGTAACTATAAATAGTAAAGATGGATAAACAGAGGGGCGCAAAGACAGTATATAAAGAAAAACCCTAGTTTAACTGTAAATAAAAGGGAGTGTCTGTAATTCTTAATTAGATAAAGTGTATATAGTATGTCCAGCCCCCTCAAGGAATACACACAGTTATAAATAGAGAAACAATTATCACATATGGAAATAGCAGGCACAGAATTATACTTAATGTAAGAAAAGGCAAATCATAGGAATATAATTAAGGCAATTGCCCACTGTACGTCACTACTACCAACCAACTATCAGAGATCTCCTCCCAGCGCGCTGCTTCGATTCAGCCCCCCTAATCCAATATAACTATAAATAACCTATTCCAAGTATTAAAAAAGTAAACACGCATTATAATACTAGAAACCCCATCCTAAGAAGTGAAAAATAAAATCAATGAAAGTGCATCAGTTTAGCAGCTCGACGTGCGTTTCGGCGTTTGAAGTACACCTTTTCTCAAGAGCAAACCACCAACTGAGATGCACTTGCTTATAAAGGTAAGTGGATCACTTCCACTCATAATGCTCAACCAATCATAGTCAATCCTGCTCAGCCATATCAGAAGTGGCTAAAACGAGGAATCCTAGGTTGTGTAACATATAAAGCCAGGAGTAGAGGTTGATCTACTAAATGAAGATTCTCAAACGTCAACTTACCAAGTAATAGGTAAATTTAACTCCCAAAGAAACTGAAATGATTGAGTTCTTCTGAACGCCATTCTACATCAAAAGGTGCCAATGAATGTCCCAAGTTTTTCTACACCCTATGTAAATTTTGGGTTATTAAGGATTAACAAGTAACGTGGCCTGTGGGGTAGGTGATGCATAAAACACATTAAGCAAATTCTTTATAACTAAGAAGAGTGCCTAAGGGTTATGTTACCCTCTTATAACCAAGAGGTTTGATGAGAATGCAGGCATGGAGAATAGACATATGTTGTTCTCCATCTGATGTGCAGTTACACAGCATAGTTTCACAGCTGAAAGGAGACTTGCATCCATCAAGCCTTCTTCGCATCTGTTTTTGCCATTGATCCAAAGGAAGGCAAAAAAAAAAAAAAACAGTTTGAAGCTTTTTTAACTTTGCAACATACTAGGAAACAATTCCTTCTTGACCCCAGAATGGAAGTCAGACCTCTCCTTGGGTCAAGAAGCTATTTAACTAACAGTTAAATTCAGTCATTTTGTTAAATGTGACCCCAGTTCCAATGACCCCTATCCTTGTCCATATTATATAAAATACCCTGCTAATAATAGCAATAATCCATATCTATTCTCGCGTGAATAGGGAACTAAAACTAAGGCTCTCTGTGTGTCAATTCAGTGGCCCAAAGTAATCGAATGGCTTTTCATCCACATTGCAAGACTATAATATACAGTAATTATGGAAATGTTTTACATCTGACATCAAGTTTGTGGTCAACAAACAAGATCAAGAAAGTTTATGATGTTCCCAAGTCATCCAACACTCCCAAACTCCTATAAAATGTATAATAGAGGTAGAATATATTCTTTGTTTGTGATCCTAGACCACAGAACCTGTAATAAACTAGTGTCTCAATGTGATTCTCTGGCAGTAAGAGATCACAAGGTATATGCCAACACATAATTGACATGTGAGGGGAAGAGATACCTTTTCAGAGTTTTACGATCATCTACTCATTTCTTGAGTATAGATAATATAGATAATTGTATAGGTAATTTTAGTTACAATCATGCCCCATGACAGGTATATTTTAAATATATTTTAAATCAATTAATAAAATAGCAAAAAAAAAACAATACTTGCATTTGACTTTCCAGAATTTGGTGCACATCCATATTCTATGCACCATCCCCCCCTGAGCTCTCACAAAACCAGAAAGTGACTCATCTAATTATTATGTTCATTAATTTTCTATAACACTACTGAGTTTATTCCATAGGTCGTGTTTTATGGGAACGGCATACGTTTCTAGAAGCTAAAGTTCAATAGTCAGCTTTCTACTGGAAAGGATAGTTAATACAATGTTAAACAAAAATCTGCACACCAGTCAAGCCATAATACAGAAATCACAAATCTGCAGTATAGTTGCTACTGCAAAGGTTCTGGATGGACATATGCAAATTAGTTAAACAAAGAATCACATTTTTAATTATTCAGTTTTAAACATATATTCCTTTTAATCTGTTTTTACTGTATACAACTTAGGAAAAGATGCAAAGCCAGTGAACCACTTGTGGACAGTTGCTTCATTGTTAATGCAAATCATCAGCATGAGGATGTTTACTGGTTTGCTTATTGAGGCTTGGTAGTGCTTAGGAAGCAAAAAACAATATGGTTATGGTGGGGGAAAAAGTGTGATTGAAAACCCCTTCCACGTGAAAGGGAAGTAGTGAGTGACTTAAACCCACAGCTGAAATTAAGACACGGGTTCGAAATACTGTCCCTTATTTTGAATTGTTAAGTTACTTGAGCTCATTAAAATGTTCATGATTGCATCTACTGATTTCTTTCTAGAACTTCATAACAAACCAAAAGTCAGCTGTGGATCACAGCTTCAAGGATCTAATTAGAGAGATTCAGAGACAACAAGAAGAGGTGAAAGTACACCTGGAGCAAAAAGAAAGAGCTGCTGTGGATCTTATTGAACAGATTGTCAGTGACCTACAAGTGAAACGTGATCAACTACAAGAAAAACAACATGATGGCGATAAACTGTTGCATACAACGGATGCTGTACTGTTCCTGCAGGTGAGTTTATAACTAAGAAAGTATATAACAGTGTATTTTTTTGCTTTGTAATAATGTTAGGGATCATGGTGAGTTTAGTTCTTGAAATTTCTAGGAAATTACCCAAGGTATAACTGAGTAACTTAATTGTTGCAAGTAACTTTTTCAAAACAGAACTTTCCCAATTACTTTCTAGCAGAGACTTTCTAAAATGTATGTTTGAGTAATCTAAACAGAGTAATTTAATGAAAATATATCAAAGGTAAGGGATTATTCCATCTGTGCACAGCAGGAACATGGTAATAAGATGACTATTATATAAAAAAAAATTGCTTTATAGCAAAATCCAGCATTAGGGACAAAATGCGCAAGATGCATGTTTTATCCTGAATTGTGTTTTATGATGCTGCATTCAAGATATGGATAAATAACTTTTGTACTGTAATAGTCATATTAGTCTGTTTTGTTCCTGCTGTACATATTATCCTCTTTCTTTTGGCATATGTTACAGTGTTTAACTAATTGGTTTAGCCCTCCAGCGTTCTCTAGGTCCTGGGAACATTTACTCAACAATAAGCCTCCTTTACCTGTTATAAAGTAATTTGGCTGAGCCATGCAGAGCTTCCTGGTTATAAGTTAAAGAATATCTTAAGCTAATGGAATATAACTCGGACATTTTATACACATTATGCTGATATTTTCAATGATTATATCTTTTTAATTGACAAAGGAAAACTGATGGTTTGTAAAATATTTGTGTTAGAAGTTCTTGAAGGCATCACATACTTTGGTTTCAGCAGAATTAGTACTAAGGAGAACAAAAACACAATGCCAAACAGTGTTATTTCTAAGAATGTAAATGTAATGTGCCTTCTTCCCTCTTTCCTTCACTTGCATTCTTGTATTGTATATGCTCAGATTTACTTGGGTCAAGCTATCCCAATTTTCTGTGGGTCTAACTATGATGACCTCTTTTCTTAAAGGGACACTATAGGTCTCCTTATACCTGCATCTGAAAACATTGCAGTTTTAAAGAAACAGCCACTAGAGGTGCTTCCTGCTGTTTCACAGAGTTTAACTCTGTGAAACGACACTGGACGTCCTCACGCTTCTAAATCCTCATAGGAAAGCATTGATTCAATGTTTTCCTATGATGAAATTCCTGATGCATGTGCATTAGGTTCCCCATTAAGATGGCATCAGAGAAGGAGATGATGATGACATAGGCACTGGAATAAGGAGATCGTTTAAAAGTTTTCTAAACCTATAATTGCCGCTGGAGGGGAGTGGGGGTGCAGTGGCAGAGAGACACCATAGTGCTGGGAATACAGCTTTGTATTCCTAACACTGTAATGTTTCTTTAACCTGCCACATCATTTTTCATGGGACATTTGTTCATGGGAAATTATTATTTAGACTTAGGCTTTTCACTAAACACCAAAATATAGTAAACTCAAAACTGAATTGCAAAATAAAGTCAAAAATAGCCAAACTGTGACCATATAAGTTTAGTTCAATTGTCCAATTCAGGTACTTTAGACAAAATTTCCAGTATAATTTTCAATTCACAACAATTTAGTGTTTATTAAATAAATCCAATATATGAATGATCTCAACTTGGAAGCCTTAAACATATGACTCTACATATAATAACTATGTCTGTTTATGGAAAACCATACCATTTTACGACTAATATGTTTTATACTTTCTTTTCATACCCACAATTAGTAATATTAGAATATCCATCATGAATAATAACATTAAAAAAATATTTAAAATTCACATTATATATCACTGTTAATAATAATAATAATAATAAAAATAATAATTAATAATAATAATTAATATGTAAACCTGTTAAAGAATATATTTTTAGATTTCTGTAGAACCATCCTTTTAATTTGACACACTTCTACATCAATATTACATGATTTCACTGTTATTTTCCATTTTCCATTTCATCAGCTGACTATTTACCAAGGTGAAGAATATGCTGCAAGCTATATCTCATTTTTTACAACTACAAAATCAGAGTCTGAATAATTTTTACATTCAACTTTATCTGACCTTACGCAATATATGATACAGTCATGTACTGTAAGTTGGTAGTTTGAAAAATGGCTTTGTGCACGTGGAACTGTTTGACATATGGGCAGTAAAACATTAGTAAGTGCCTGAAGTACAGCATCTAATAACAACTCTTGAAAATAACTGCAGGAGCTTAAAATCATTGCTGGAGTTCAAAACTGTCCTATTCCTCTTTGTAAAGTAGGAACGAACATTTCTCATTGCTCTTGCTTAATCATTAGTCTTTTTAAAGTAGAGCTCATTCCTTGTTCAAACTTTAAATGAAGAATTAGAAGTTATTTAACAAGAACTGTTCAGGTCTCAAACACATTCTTTCTCATTCAGGCCATTACAGATAGTTTCAATAACACTCATCCAACCCATAAGAGGAGTCAAGACAAACAAAAGCTAAAAGGTTGCCTCTGCACAAGAGATATAGAAATTCCAAATGATCATTTAGGACCTTGACAGTAAGGTGTAGCTGATAACCTGATATGAACATGGCACATGTGGTCCATGTCTGGATTACCCTTTTAAATTAGGGGAATGCTAAACTAATGGATTGAAAGAAAAACAATCATTATATTGATTGTTATATTGATATGAGAGCACAGAAAATGTGCAAAACCTCAGCATCATGTCTTGCATTTTTCCCTGATAAAGTCTCAATCAAGTTTTTGTTCACATGTTGCATTACACACAGTGAGGGAAAAAAGTATTTGATCCCCTGCTGATCCCCTGCTGATTTTGAAAGTTTGCCCACTGACAAATAAATGATCAGTCTATAATTTTAATGGTACGTGTATTTTAACAATAAGAGACAGAATAACACACACAAAAAAATCAAGAAAAACGCATGTCACATAAGTTATGAATTGATTAGCATGCAATCAGTGAAATAAGTATTTGACCCCTTCGACTTGGTGGCAAAACCCTTGTTGTCAATCAGGGAGGTCAGACATTTCTTGTAGTTGGCCACCAGGTTTGTACACATCTCAGGAGGGATTTTGTCCCACTCCTCTTTGCAGATCCTCTCCAAGTCATTAAGGTTTTGAGGCTGATGCTTGGTGACTTGAACCTTCAGCTCCCTTCACAGATTTTCTATGGGATTACAGTCTCGAGACTGGCTAGGCCACTCCAGGACCTTAGTTTGCTTCTTCTTGTGCCACTCCTTTGTTGCCTTGGCTGTGTGTTTTGGGTCATTGCCATGTTGGAATATGCTACCTATTTTCAATGTCCTGGCTGAGGGCATGAGGTTCTCACCCAAAATTTGATGGTGAGGTCATAGGCAGCAAACATGGCAAGTTGAGTTGATGCCAAAGAGCTCGATTTTGACCTCATCTGACCACAGCACTTTCACTCGAGTTCTCCTCTGAAAGATTCAGATGTTCATTGGCAAACTTCAGAGGGGCCTGTTCATGTGCTTTTTTGAGCAGGGGAACCTGGCGGGCACTGCAGGATTTCAGTCCTTCATGGTGTAGTGTGTTACCAATTGTTTTCTTGGTGACTATGGTCCCAGCTGCCTTGAGGTTATTAACAAAATCCTCCTGTGTAGTTCTGGGCTGATTCCTCACCGTCCTCATGATCATTGAAACTCCATGAGGTGAGATCTTGCATTGAGCACCAGACCAAGGCAGACTGACAGTTATTTTGTGTTTCTTCCATTTACGCATAATCGCACCAACTGTTGTCACTTTCTCACCAAGCTTCTTGGCGATGGTCTTGTAGCCCATTCCAGCCTTGTGTATGTCTACAATCTTGTCCCTGACATCTTTGGACAGCTCTTTGGTCTTGGCCATGGGGAAAAGTTTGGCATCTGATTTATTGATTGATTCTGTGGACAAGTGTCTTTTATACAGGTAACAAGCTGAGATTAGGAGCACTCCCTTTAAGAGAGTGCTTCTAATCTCAGATCATTACCTGTTTACCATTACTGTTAAAATTACAGACTAATCATTTCTTTGTCAGTGGGCAAACGTTCAAAATCAGCAGGGGATCAAATACTTTTTCTTTCACTGTGGTATGTGTATATGAGACTGATCCCACCCATAAAGGCAATCAAGATCTGAAATCCTGGCAAGTTTTGGTTCATTTACAGATTGCCTAATGTCTCTCTAAAGTAAAAAGGAAATCCAGGGTGTGCTTGTCACTGTTCTCTTTTCTAAAATTTTGTCAAAGTTGAAAATCTCTGTAAAATAAAGAGGTTTCTATGACATTATAACTCAATCAATATAAATATTTAACAAAGAAAATTTCTTTTAATATAAGAAAAATTGATTGTGTCACTTTAATTCAGCAATGTTTGAAAACAAAATAGCTGTAAATAACCAATTTAATTTGCAAAATGCCTTAAAAGATTAGCCTCTAAATACTGGGAGTTAATTCTTTAAAAAATAAAATAAAAAATATTCTCCTACTCTGCTGGGAACAGATGTTTTTGTCACGAGTCAAATCTATTATTATTCTTCTTATTGCCATTTATATAGCGCCAACAGATTCCGTAGCGCTTTACAATATTAAGAGAGGGGGGATTTAACTATAAATAGGACAATTACAAGAAAACTTACAGGAACGATAGGATGAAGAGACCTATCATTACAGACTGTAGCAGGGCAATACGGCTTTTCGGAATACCAATTACGAAAGGGTTACAATAATCCATGTGGGAAATTACTAGAGCATGGAGAAGCTCGTTGGTAGCATCTTGTGTAAGAAAGGGGTAGATGAGGGCTATGTTTTTAAGATGGAATCTACAGGACTTGGCAACAAACTGGATGTGAGGCTCAAAGGAGAGGCCAGAATCAAGTATGACGCCAAGACAGCGCGCTTGCAAGGATGGACTTATGTGGATACCACTAACTTGAAGGAAGAGCGAAAGAGGAGAATCAGTTTGTGGAGGAAGAAATACAAGGAGCTCAGTTTTAGAGAGATTGAGTTTCAGAAAGCAGGAGGACATCCAGTCTAGCTCTGTGCACATACTCTACTGGTTGAAACAGCAAATAAATGAGCTAACTAATTATGAACATAATTTAATATTGACTATTCAATTTTTTTTGTTTTTGGATAAACTTTAAAAATGATTTAATATTTTTAATATTTTATAGTTGTTTATATATTATATATTTGTTTATATTGATATATTTTATATATGATTTTTTTATATTTAATTTTTTAATTTTTTTTAAAGCATTTTAAACTTTTATCTAAAAATATTAAATCATTTGCATTATGGGGCTAGGTTATGACAAGGAAATTGGATTGGAAGTTTGGGAGTGGATTGGCAAAGAAAGGGGTGTTTCACGCCCCAATCTATGTTTCCTGCTACACTTGAGCATTTAAGAAAGTTGCATTTAAAAAAAGCCACTATGATAATTCTGCTATGCTACACTTACAATATAAGATATTGTAAAACAAATTGAAAAACATGTATTTTCTTCTTTTTTTTTTTACTTATGATTTAACATGGAATTATAAATTATCTAGTTTTATGTTTACCTTAGTTATATTATTCTTATTATTAATTCTTATCATCTTTATTGTTACAAAAATAAAGGAAGAAAACATGTTTATTATAGAATTTTCTATAATTATAGTGATTTCTGATTCATAGCCTTTTCCCTGAAGACTGTAATTAGACCTTTTAGATATATTTAACTCAGTGAGGTGCACCATAAACCTCGGGAGTATTAGTTGTTGAAGATCATATTGCCTGAAGTATAATATGACTCTTGCGATGTTCATACTTAATGAATTGTAATTTTCTTGGAAAGTAACCAGAAATCACGTTCTAGCTTGTAAAAAGGTAAACGTCTATTACCATTTATTAGACTCCCTCTCTCGAATTTAAGATTTGAAAACCAACATAGCTTGAGTCATCACATTTCCTGTAAATTCAAAGCTCATAAGCCTAAGGGATATAAAATGAAGTGTGCATTTTACTAAATACGTTACCCGTTTTAAAAGGCTTCTCTTTGCCATAGTAAATGATTCACTGAGTGTTCTGTTTTTGTTTTTTTTCTAATGCATGAAAGAAGCACCATGGGACCTTTTGAAAACCAGGACATAGTGACTTGTGGTTAGTTGACAAAGTCACAACATTTAGGTCAAAACACTCAATTTAAAACAATATCAAACTAATTTCTGATGGCCAAAACAATTAATCTGGATACATAACCAGTGCCTCATCCTTTATAACTCTCACTAATTAACCAGTGCCACACACCTTATCAATCCCCTTTCCTAACTAATTTATGCCATCTCTTCTGTTCGAACTTCTCACTAACGAACCAGTGCCACCTACCTCTCCTTTCTAACTTTCTCCTTAAGTAACATGTTCCACCTACCATGCCTCCTTTCTAGCCTCCCATACTAATTGGTTGCACCTAAAAAATATCTGTGTTTTGCCCATGTCGTACAAAAACTTTGGCCAGCTATTGTCCATTTGATCACTTTAATTAATTACCACTGGTTTGCCTTAAATTGCATAGCTTTAGTTATATTAAATATCATATAAAATTATGCATTAGTCATGGAAAGATTACAACACTTGTTTAATACAGTTACCTCTCTTGATGTTCATACATTCCTGGTGTTAATATATGAAGTATTGAACTTCATGGAGTTTTTTTTTTTCTTTTCTATATTACTATACTGACCTATGCACACTTGTTATCATATGAAATTATTGTATGAATATCTACAATTTCTTTCTTTTTTAAAAAAAAAAGATTTTTGCTGCTATTGTACTGTATTGTAAGAACAATTAAATTATATGCTCATACTCTACAGGAGTTTCAAATGGTGATAAGGAATGCTCCACCAATTCCTCCTCTGCCCACCTACACTGTGACCTTAGAAGGAGAAAGGCTGACACAGTCAATGGGTATATTACGTGAAGAGATGTTGTCAGCGTGCAAGAAGAATGTGGATAAATACTGCAAGACTGAAAGTAACCGCAATCTGGTGGAAAAAAATGGTAAGTGCTTAAAATTTGCCTATCTTGTCTAAATGGTTCCATTGGAAAAACTTGCAGTAAAGCAAATACCTACATCATATAATGTATCTCTTATGGCTATTTAGTAAAGTAGAGAGCTTGTTTGAATATAATGCTTTGGCTATAAAATCCAGATGATGGGAACACAGCAAGCTGTGAAGAGCTTATTACCACTGAGAGGTCATAGGTTACAGTTACGATTATCTATATAGCTCCAACATATTAAGCAGCACTCGATAATAGGTAAACAAGACAAACACTTGAAGGGATACTATAGTGGTGCATCATGCATACTATTATGGATTTCTAGGAAAACTTTGTAATAAATATAAATTAAATTAAAGGACTGAGAAGCATGGAAACTCTTGAGGATAATTTAAGAAGATGAAGGGGTGGACATTATATTTTTTAAAGCAACCATATATATTAAGTAAATTACTTTTATTCTTAAGGTGACAACATTATTTATAGTGATGCACAATAAATAAAACAATCTCATAAAATAGGAAAAAATATTACTATTACATTAGTAAGTGCAAATCTTACATCTATGTTAGAGTAAAATAAAAAAAAATCATAAAGATCAAATTTCAATATATTTTTACTAAATCCTTTTCCGTTTCTACTTGTTTGATATGGATTATGAAATTCAAAGGAATTGAATGTGCCTTGGCAGTGGAACTAAACAGTTTTTATGCATACCTCTGAAGCATAAATAAAAATGCATGCATGTTTTCTTTGGGATTATATTAATTAAATTGTTAAAAATAAAATAACATATTTGCATTGGAGTGTTCCTTTAAGATTTTCACTAAATGATCAACTGAAAAATGTTAACATTTAGGAAGAACTTGCAGTAATATAAGAATAGCTAAATTGAAGATTTTTTTTTCTCTACACAATTCTCTGATTACAGAATAAACTCAAATGAGTCACATCAAATGCCTTAAATATGCTTCTGTCTTTGGGTTAGTTTATAAGACATAATGCTGATAAAAGGTGAAATTGCATTTTAAATAAACCTCATTTGCTCATGTTGGGAGCTTGAATAGTTCTATCGATTCTAACCACCCATTAAAATTAAATTGCCTCAGTTTCCCAGCACATGGAGAAAATTTGCCTTGTCGTTTTGCTGTATTGATGCAAGTGAATTTTCTTTTTTTTTCTTCTATAAATACACAATAAGAATAGGTTAATGTGGCATCAATGATATTATTTATTTTAATCTGCTTTTTTATCCAGTGTTATATTAAAAAAAAAAAAAATCAAATAGAAATTAAAATAAAGAGATAAAACAGCATGCGTATTTACGTACAATAAAATCCTGGACACATTGTACAGACTGGACAGTTTATAAAAGAGACTGTACATAAAATAAAATAAAAATATTCAGGAGCTTGGTGCCATGAAGTAATAGTTTATCTCACAATGATATTTTATTATATCTGCTAGCCATACTCTAGTTATTAATTTTGCAAATACAGTATACTTTAAATATAAGTAGATTTTCTCTTATCTGTCTTTCTATTGGAAAACGTGCATAAGTATAATTGGACTCAACCTGAAGAGTGCAAACGAGAGTTATATTCTTTTGTATCCTCTTGTAGAGTCTATATCTAAGTAAGACCTGTGAAAAGCTTAAAGGGCACTACAGCGTTAGGAACGGAAACGTGTATGCCTGACAGTATAGTTCTAAAACCACTGTTAAGGTGGTTGTCCCCCCCCCCTCTTACTTTGGGTTAGAAAGATGATTTCCTCACCTTTTTCCAGCACCGCGTGGTGCTCCATGCATCTGGCCCCACTCCTGATCCCTCTTACTTGACTCACATCATCAGAATTAATCTTCTAAGCCAATCATAATGCTTTCCCACAGGAAAGCATTGGATTGGCTGAGATTTCAATTCTGATGATCTCAGCCAAGGAGGTGGGGCGGAAGTGGAGTCAAACTCTGCCCAGGCCAACCAGCAGCCCCTCATAGAGATGCATTGCATTAATGTCTCACTATGTGGAAAGTTAAGCGTGGAGACCATGTAACACTGTGCAGCACTGCCCCTGGAAGCATCTCTAGTAGCCGTCTGAGGAGTGGCCATTAGAGGTGTATCCAGGCTGTAATGTAAACACTGCCTTTTCTTTTCCCTGACAATGCAGTGTTTACAATAAAAAGCCTTCAGGGACTGACTATACTCATCAGAACAACTACAATACCATGTAGTTGTTCTGGCAACTATAGCGTCCGTTTAATAATTTCTAAGCACTGCATTGCCTCTCAAGCTCAGCTAAATTCAACATTTCCCCATAGGTATAATGGAGGAATATTCATCTGATCCTGCAGTGTTTAATTGCTTCTTTTAGCAGGATTTACATAAATTTACTTTGGTAAACGATTGCACCTCTAATTAACTGATTTTCATTAACAGTTATTAACTAATGAGTTTAGCATTCATTGCTCAAGGTACAATGGTAAAACAGATGCCATTTTGTTAGGCGTAAGAAACAGAGAGATTATTTAAACTCATCCACACACATACATTCTCAGATATGATCATCTATAAAAGCTCACACACCTCATGTCTTGTCTTCACATGTACAAAGATTTCAATGCCTTGCCAGTATTTTGTACATGCTACAACAAGAAACTATTATGCACACAAAAAAAAAATAATATAACTTGCTAAGAAGGCCCATGTTATTATTAATGTCTTAATATCAAAGTAAGGCAATAATGATTACTGTATGTAAGAATAACATATAATACAGACTGGATATTCTGGAAGAAGTTGTCCTATAACATTTGGTGTTTCTGAAATACTTCAGCAAAACTTCCATTTAACTGTGTGGATAAAATATATGGGGAATATGCAGGGCATATTCCCACCTAATTCCATAGTGTATGCTCTATTTCTCATCTACTTTTAAATCATGTAACATATATACCATATTCCTTTGACAATGCATACAGGTTTTTTGTGTAGGACTGGTTTGGAGTCTGGTTTGTGTCACCACTGTTGACCATTTTAAAAAAAATGTATTTATATACATATATTCACCACATTTATTACATATTCCTTGACATAGAATGATCATATAGTTTGTACATGCATATAAATCATCATCTCAATTCACCTATGTTCATTATACTTTTTACAATTAAAAGTCCACAGCCTCTGTAGCATTTAAAATACAAAAACATAGACTTACAATTACAAGCATTACTATCGTACTAGATCAAAGATCTTATAATAACCTATTATCTTCTATTCTCTTTATTCCCTTCTTTTTCCTTCCCACTCCTTCCTTTCTCTTTCCCTTAGTTATTCCCTTCTGTTGACTACTGTTGACCTTTGACCAGTTTTTGTAATTTGTGCCGTCATGTTAGTTGAGTTGGTAGAAGTGATCATTTGGCAGAACGGATCTGTCCTGATTGACAAATTTTCTGTTTAGGCCTATCAATAGAGATTTTTACCTTTGTATTCGTATAGGAGAAAGTGCAGTAATTATGTACAGTAATTAGAGCTCTTTCAGACAATCTGTATACAGTAAGGCAAGACTGATAAAGTAAGGTCTGAACTAACTGCATGTTGCACAGACAACATTGTTTATTTGCAACAGGGCGTATCTAGATATAGGGCAAGGCATAAAAGAATGTGATCATGTCATAGTGAGACTGATGATACTCTTGACAAATTGATTTGTCAAAGTAAATGTAATCTTTTTATAAGCAGAACTAGTCTACTCAGTCTTACAAAAAGTAGACTTTGATTGTTTTTCCAAGCACTTAGCTTGTAGCATGATTTGGCACATTTTGAACTCTGTGTCTGTACTAAGCAAATACAAGTCAATGATCTTCCAGAACCATAAAATCTACAACTACATATAACAGACAAAACGGAACCCAGAGTGCATTGCAAACAAACATACTCTCTCCTTTTATAGTTTCACGTTTGTTAGTGTAACAAGCAGGAAATAAACACATTTTTTGTACATTACAAACATGTCAGATGCTTTGTTTGTGACACTACAAAAACATAGAAACATTCATATAAATGGCACTGTAAGCTTGGAAGTACTCTATCCTAATTCTCCTTGACCTGTCTGCGGCTTTTGACACTGTTGATCATCAACAGCTTCTTCTCATCCTCCGCAATATCGGTCTACAAGATACTGCTCTCTCCTGGTGCTCCTCCTACCTCTCCCAGCGCTCTTCCAGTGTTTCTTTCTCTGGCTGTGCTTCTTCTCCCCAACTCCTCTCTGTTGGTGTCCCCCAAGGTTCAGTCCTTGGTCCCCTACTGTTCTCCATCTATACTGCCTCCCTTGGTAAACTCATTAGCTCCTTTGGCTTCCAATATCATTTCTATGCAGATGACACCCAAATCTACCTGTCCTCTCCTGATCTCTCCCCGTCCCTCTTGACAAGTGTCTCTGACTGCCTCTCTGCTGTTTCTAACTGGATGGCTGCCCACGTCCTTAAACTAAACTTGACCAAAACTGAAATTCTGGTCTTTCCTCCCTCAAGTGTTGTTACTCCTGTGTCTGTCTCCCTCCAAGTCAACGGTGCTACCATTAGCTCCACCACACAGGCTCACTGCCTAGGTGTTCTCTTTGACTCCGATCTCTCCTTCAAGCCTCATGTTCAATCTATCGCCAAATCCTGTCATTTCCATCTCAAAAACATTGCGCGCATCCGCCCCTACTTAAAGCCAGATGCGACTAAGGTGTTGGTCCATTCCACTGTCCTTTCTCGCCATGACTACTGTAATCCGCTTCTCATGGTCTTACATGCTCCCAACTAGCACCGTTACAGTCCATAATGAATGCGGCGGCAAGGCTCATCTTCCTGTCCGCACGCACCTCCCATGCCTCACCCTTCTGTCAATCCCTACATTGGCTTCCTATAAAATATAGAGCTCAATTTAAAATTCTGGTTCTTGCTTTCAAATCTCTACATAATGCTGCTCCCACCTATCTATCCTCCCTTATACACAAGTATGTCCCGTCTAGGCCCTTACGATCTGCTGAAGACTTAAGTCTATCTTCTGCCCGTACTCCCACCTCTGATGCTCGCCTTCAAGATTTCTCGAGGGCTGCACCGTTCCTGTGGAACTCGCCTCCCTCCTCCGTTAGATGCTCACCCAGTCTCCACTTCTTCAAAAAATCGTTAAAAACCCACTTCTTCATAAAAGCGTATCCATTAAACTGTTAATAGCTCCTGACTGATTCCTCTTCTGCAACTGTCATTAGTCTAATACTATCCTTACCTTTTTGTGTCATTTTACCCCACTCCCTCTAGCATGTAAGCTCATTGAGCACGGCCCTCAACCCCTCTGTTCCTGTGTGTCCAACATGTCTGGTTACAACTACATGTCTGTTCGTCCACCCATTGTAAAGCGCTGCGGAATCTGACGGCGCTCTATAAATATCATAATAATAATAATAATAATAATAATAATTTAGTCTTTATTGTTATACTATGGACCTTTGCTCACTTCCATGTAAGTTAGTAAAAATGTTACGGGTGATATCTATTTTCTGCAAAAATCTCTAAGCTGGTAATTAACTAATGTAAAATAATTTGCATAATCACCCACTGCAACTGAGTCACACTACACAGGGCAGTTCTAGACAGGCGCGGCTTGAAAAACATTAAACTTGTTATACAAGTATAGCAATTGTATATTACTAAGCACTGGCTTGTAATCAGCTCTTGAAACCATCAACGTCTCAAAATGTCCCTGCTTGAAACAGCTGGCACGCAAAAATACAAAACTAAACTAAAAACAAAAACAAACATTAGCAGAGATTACCTGTACCCTTAAAGGCATGAACATGGCTGTTTTATAATATCCTACACAATATCATGTTCACAATCCATTTGTCTATTCTATATATATATATATAAATATGTGCGAAAATGCATAGAGCAGGTGCCCAGTGACTGCACCCTCCTACTCTGACCCCATCTCCTGGCATCAATCAGTGGAGGGATATAGGTTTTATGATAATGCAAAAATTCTCTACACACCGTGTAATCCGATAGGAGGTTTTAGACTCACTTCTGTGTCACAACATGTATGAGTGGAGAGCAGTAAACATTTACTAAAATAATGCTATTTAACAATTTCTTGAACCAAACTAAGATGTCAGCACCTTCTGCATGTGCAAATAGAAATCCTTTAAAACCAACCAATCACAACTTTTATATTTCTAACACAGACTTTGAAATACTATCAACTGCTTAAAGGAACACTTTAGGGTCAGGAACACAAACATCTATTCCTGATCCTATAGTGTTAAAACCACCATTTAGGTGGCTTGCACCCCTTTAGCCCCTTTATAAGGAGTTAAAACATACCTTATTTCCAGCGCCAAGCATGTCTGCCGGCGCTGGCCCTGCCCATTATCAGCCTCATTGGGACATCATCAAAATTCCCCTTTGGGAAAGCATTGGATTGGCTGAAATTGGCAAAGAGGTGGGATGGGGCCGGGCTAAACACTGTGGATAAGCAGAACAGCAGTGCTGCCTACTGCAGCACTGCCACAGGAAGCACCTTCAGTGGCCATCTGAGGAGTGGCCACAGGAGGTATCCCTAGGGGACAATGTAAACACTGCCTTTTCTCTGCAGTGTTTGCATGAAAATGCCAGAAGGGAATGATTATATTCACCAGAACAACTACATTAAGCTGTAGTTGTTCTGGTGACAATAGTGTCCCTTTAGTGATACAGAGTACACTGGTACATATTTATTTCTGTGCCCACACTGTTGACAACACAGATATGTGTTAATTTTCATATTTTTATATTTTATATTTTAATATTTTTATTGTTTTGTTTTTTTTCACTCTGCTCATTGTTAGCTTTGAGTTGCCAGCTTGCTATTTTAAATTTTTTGTTGCTGACAGGAAAACTTTTAAAAGCTAATAAATATCACCAAAGTAATTATGTTTTGTTCATAATGATTTAAACTGGCTATTACCGCAGTTAAAATTGATTAATTTGATTCAGTCCAGTTGGTTCCCTCCCACACACACACATTTAGTGAATAGTATTTTGGAAGCTTGAAAAGGTCTTCTTAAATTAATCTCACATAATATTTTAACTGAGTTTCTTACAAACATTGTTTAATAAGTTGGACTTCTTTGGATAGACCATATTCTTACTTATCAAATGTTAAAGCGGTATTGTCACTTTGCAGATTTTGTTTTAGATTAGCTGTTTTTGACCCCCATTAATCCCTGTTTTATTGTTTTGAAATTCACCTTAGTGCTTTTGTTATATACTTATATATTTGATCTTTGGAAATATTAGTTCATTATTATTATTTATATAGCGTCAACTAATTCCGCAGCGCTGTACAATGGGTGGACTAACAAGCATGTGATTAATGGGCAGAGGTGTTGCAAAGTTTCATTTCAGTTGCATTTATAACCCATTATTTTATCACATCTATACTGTGAAATAGTATTTTTTTTATTTCTGTGTTATACTAAACTTTGTACATTTGCCTTTCAGCAGAAAACCGATATGCAATGAAAGATCTTACATCAGATTGGACCCAGCCAGGTGACTCATATGGAAGATTTGGATCACTTTTTAACATGAAAGGTACTTAAACTCAATTGTGTGTATTTTGATAATTTTGGTTTAAATAGATAATGAAGCCTCAAGACATGAGATGGCATACATTGACACTATGTTAAGAAAAATGTGTGCCTCTAAACATGCTAACATACAGGGTTATTTATTAAAGCGAGAATTAAAGTTAAAATAGTCTATGCTTTCGTTTTAGCTACTATGGCCTGAGATTTGAAATTGACTTTGAATTCACCTTGAATTTTCACTTTGGTGAATAACCATCTTAGACTTTATAAAAACAAACATATGCCTATCAGGAATTTCGCACATATCTTCACTAATATAATGCTAAATGTAGAGAAGACTAAGAGAGTAGAGGCTCTGTAACACCCTCTGGGTTGCACGCTCCATTTTCATACTCATTGTACTTAGTATACACAGAAAATTAGAGAAATAATAAATAATAATAATAATAGAGAAATAAGAAATCTGAGAAGATAGAAACATAGAATGTGACGGCAGATAAGAACAATTCGGCCCATCTAGTCTTTCCAATTCTCTAAATACTTTCATTTGTCCCTGGCCTTATCTTACAGCTAGGATAGCCTTATGCCTATCCCATGCATGCTTAAACTCCCTCACTGTGTTAACCTCTACCACTTCAGCTGGAAGGATATTCCATGCATCAACTACCCTCTCAGGAAATAAATACTTCCTAAAATTATTTAATTTAAGATTATGTCTAATTTAAGATTATGTCCTCTTGATGTGGTAGTTTTTGAAGAATATTATCAACTACCCTCTCAGGAAAGAAATACTTCCTAAAATTATTTAATTTAAGATTATGTCTAATTTAACACAAAATAAGTTTTGAAAACTATACATTGCTAGCAGTATATCTTAAACTTGACTACAATAATGTTAAATACTGTAAAAAAAATAATAATTTTTGTCTCTATTAGGTGGTCGTCAGTCTTTTCAGACATCTCCCGCACGTTTAACTGAAAATGTTGCTTCAGGTTTGAACAGCATCTATGGAACAAAAGGTATGGATCCTATACTATCTCAGTAGTAAGAGTGAAATAATATCCATACACAAAAATATCAACCTCATACTAGGTTTTGGGGTAGAAGATCACACATAATTCTGTATATATGTTTTTTTTTATTAATTTGAACATATATGATTGTAGAATTGGTTATTTAAGTGCAACATGAGTAATTAATTGAAATTATAGAACATACACTTCAATGGTCCTTCTCCGACTGTATTATCTTTAGTACCTGACTTTAAAGTTAAGTAATAATTTCTTGACAGAAGATTAACTTGGTATTTCAATATTTGGGATCTGTACTTGGACCCATTCTCTTTAATATTTTTATTAGTGACATTGCAGAAGGTCTTGATGGTAAGGTATGTCTTTTTGTTAATGATACTAAGATATGTAACAGGGTTGATGTTCCAGGAGGGATAATCCAAATGGCAAATGATTTAGGTAAACTAGAGAAATGGTCAGTGGTGTGGCAACTGACATTTAATGTGGATAAGTGCAAGATTATGCATCTTGGACGTACAAACGCAAAGGCAGAGTACATAATATTTGATAGAGTCCTAACCTCAACATCTGAGGAAAGGGTTTTAGGGGTGATTATTTCTGATGACTTAAAGGTAGGCAGACAATGTAATAGAGCAGCAGGAAATGCTAGCAAAATGCTTGGTTGTATAGGGAGAAGTATTAGCAGTAGAAAGAGGGAAGTGCTCATGCCATTGTACAGAACACTGTTGAGACCTCACTTCGAGTATTGTACACAGTACTGGAGACCGTATCTCCAGAAGGATTTTGATACTTTAGAGAGAGTTCAGAGAAGGGCTACTAAACTGGTTCATGGATTGCAGGATCAAACTTACAAGTAAAGGTTAAAGGAACTTAACATGTATAGCTTGGAGGAAAGACGAGAAAGGGGGGATATGATAGAAACATTTAAATACATAAAGGGAATCAACACAGTATATTTAAAAGAAGAAAAACTACCACAACAAGAGGACATAGTCTTAAATTAGAGGGGCAAACGTTTAAAAATAATATCTGGAAGTATTACTCTACTGAGAGGAAAGTGGATGCATGGAATAGCCTTCCAGCTGAAGTGGTAGATGTTAACACAGTAAAGGAGTTTAAGCATGTGTGGGATAGGCATAAGGCTATCCTAACTATAAGATAGGACCAGGGACTAATGAAAGTATTTAGAAAATTGGGCAGATTAGATGGGCCAAATGGTTCTTATCTGCCGTCACATTCTATGTTTCTATGTTTCATCCTTTGGAAGTCAGTAAAGTTAGTGCCACTAGGCTGGATATTCATAATTAAAATTATACTCCATTACATACCTAAAACTAGTAAAAAAAAATTAATGTATATTTCCTAGTTAAATCATTTGGCTTCATTTGTTATTTCTGTTGTCTTTATTTATAGCAATGTAAGTCATTAAAAAAAAAAAAGCAATAGTGCAAAATTCTAAATTTCGAGACATGCTATGTAATCATTTGATAGTAATTTCATTTTTAAAAATTAGCCCTCAAATCCCACTTTATAAATACTCTGAATTATTCTCCATGCTTTATGGCATTTCTGTATTGAGAGAACCAATCACCCTGAAATTCTACAGATACATGTGTACCGCTTAAAAGCATGCATTATTTTCATAAACATTTTGTTAAAATATGTGCATTTTTAAAGAAGTCCTTGTTTTTTATGGGACATATACTATGGGGTGCATACTTTGAGTTTCTCACAAAATACAGCTTTAAGTGAAAATAAAGTAAAAGAGATGCCTTAATCTACCATATTAATAGTTTGCCAATCTTAGTCCATGTGAATTTATTAGCAAAAGCTGAGGGTACATTACTGTGCACCAGAAATGTTTGGTGAAAAATCCAACTTGGGAAAAATTGTCAGCTCTGGATGTAAATTCACCTATTATGACAGACTACTTTGTTCAGCTGTATTCACCTATTTGGATGTAAGCACACTTTTTAATGTTACCGGCTGGAAATAGAATGTATTTATTAGGGATATTTACCATTTAAGTAACATTCATTTTCTAACATTTTAAAGGAGCAACACTTTTTTTTTACTGTGACACAAATTTGTTGGTTGTATTCACCTCTTTTGCTGTGAAATCTCAAAATACATTCTGGTGCTCAGATTTGATACAGAATTCGCAAAAAACACCAACAAAATGATAAGAGAACAGAGATGCGAGATTGGCATGGATAGTAAAATCAATAAACAGTGATAAACTGCTGCAAAACAGTTAGATACACTCTGAAAGACATATGGAATACGGTGTTCGATGGCACCTGTAAGCAGATACATGTGAGCAGGTAAAAGCATAGGAGGAAAGGTCCAATGTAGCAGCTTGGTGTTGAGTTGATGGGCAGCTCAATTTACAAGGTGTTTGACACAACTTGCTTTAGCTTTAACCATTTGTAAAAAAATACAGAACAATTGAGAACAGGAATGAGTGCACAAACCACAACCGTGAAATTGCAAAAAGACTGGTGTGGCAACAATTCCCGTTAGTACAATGATATAGATGTAAAAAACAGATACAATATATATCTTGTAATAACTTTTTTATTGGATTAACAAAATTTTGTAATGACAACTTTTGCGAGAACCTCCCTTTCTCAAGTGCTTTAGACTTGAGAAAGGGAGGTTCTTCTGAAAGCTTGTCATTACAAAATTCTGTTAGTCCAATAAAAAAGATTTGACAAGATATAAATTGTATCTGTTTTTTTTTACTTTCTAAACACATCATATACTAGTAAGCCTTCTTATTTTGATTGTCACAGATCACCCCTCAAATATTATTGCCACTTATAAGGCCATTGCTGGAATGGTATGTCCTTCTTCTTAAAGGACCACTCTAGGCACCCAGACCACTTCAGCTTAATGAAGTGGTCTGGGTGCCAGGTCCTTCTAGGGTTAACCCATTTTTTTATAAACATAGCAGTTTCAGAGAATGGGTTAAGCCTTCCCCCTAATCCTCTAGTGGCTGTCTCATTGACAGCCACTAGAGGCGCTTGCGTGATTCTCACTGTGATTTTCACAGTGAAAGCACGCAAGTGTCCATAGGAAAGCATTGTGAATGCTTTCCTATGCGACGGCCTGAATGCGCGCGCAGCTCTTGCCGCGCGTGCGCATTCAGCCCAGGAGGAGGAACGGAGGAGGATCGGAGGAGGAGAGCTCTCTGCCCAGCGCTGGAAAAAGGTAAGTTTAAACCCCTTTCCCCCTTCCAGAGCCGGGCGGGAGGGGGACCCTGAGAGTGGGGGCACCCTCAGGGCACTATAGTGCCAGGAAAACGAGTATGTTTTCCTGGCACTATAGTGGTCCTTTAAGCAAATTCCAACCACATCCAAGTACAGTCAAAAAGCTTTCGTTATTTGTTTCGATTAAAAACAATGCAGAACAAACAAGCAAAAATTAGGGAATTTAATTTACTCATAGAAATTACTGTTTAAACAGGACCAATTTCTCTTAAAAATAACTCATTAGAACTATCACTTCTACAGTTATTTTCCAATTAGGCTTTAACCTTTCTTATAAGGTCTAACCAGCAGTCTTCTGAGTTTGGACACTAAGTGTCTTTGCAAGGTTATGAGTAATATAGAATAAAATAATATTCACAAATACCAAATGCCATTTTACTTCAAAACAGTCAAACTAAGTATGAGAATTAATGTTGTATGCATTCTTCCTTTATAAGTACATCAGTGTTGGAACTTAACTACAAACTTCTTTCCCCCAGTGCATTACACTTTAAAAATGTAGCAAAATATTTTCTGATTCTTCTCAAAGCAATTGGATGTGTCACAAAAACACTGGTTCTCCAGCTCACATATACTGGCTTTGTCCACCGATTAAACCCCACTGATCAGAGATCATTGTTTTAACTAGCCACATAACAGTGGCTACTTTTAATAACAATCCAATGAATGTCCTCTTTCATCTCACTTAGCTTTCCCGATTGAAATGGAAAAAACATTAAACAATTCACTTCTAAATGTAGCTGAAGCCCTGCCCCATATTGAATGAAAAATACATCAACCCTTCAGCTGTTGCTAAGTGTATCATGACAGTTGGAAGTATTACACTACTGCAAGAACTTTGTCTTTCCTTACAGGAGTGTTATGACGTCTATACTGTTTTTTGGTCCCCCTGTCTTGCCTACTTATCTTCACAAGGTTTGATACAATTACATTCCTCAGTCACTCAATTGATAAGATTACATTTTATATCTATCATATCATAATATACGACATCCCATTAAGTCCGATTATCATGGGTATGCAATTACTAAATAAATACTTTTGGACTAAAAAACAAACTACTGCACTATGTTTTATGTTTTGGATTCATACATTTTTATATTTTAAAAGGACCACTATAGGCACCCAGACCACTTCAGCTTAATGAAGTGGTCTGGGTGCCAGGTCCAGCTAGGTTTAACCCTTTTTGCTGTAAACATAGCAGTTTCAGAGAAACTGCCATGTTTACATATGGGTTATCCAGCCTCTAGTGGCTGTCTCATTGACAGCCGCTAGAGGCGCTTCCGCGCTTCTCACTGTGATTTTCACAGTGAGAAGATGCCAGCGTCCATAGGAAAGCATTGAGAATGCTTTCCTATGGACTTGCTGAATGCGCGCGCGGCTCTTGTCCCAGCGCCGAGGGAGCCCGGCAGGGGGAAAAGAGGTAAGGGATTAACCCCTTCCTCCCCGCTCAGCGCCATGGGAGTGGGACCCTGAGTGTGGGGGCACCCTCAGACACTATAGTGCCAGGAAAACGAGTTTGTTTTCCTGGCACTATAGTGGTCCTTTAAGTTGCCTGTTACTGGTTACTATATTTTTTGATGTGGTTGGAAACCTCGTCTAACTTTATAATTGACCTAAACTATTTTGGTTCTTACAATATAGATCATATGTGGCTCCGCCTACTCAGTCCATTTTCTTAAAGTTTACCTTTAAATCTTTAAACTTTAATTATTTAGTAAACATGCTTGTTTATCATCTAACACAGCTTGTGCTACTGTACATTATACTAGCTTTCAAACAGATTAATTTTTAAAGCCTATATGAATCTATATTATTATGAAAGACTCTAGTTAACCCCCATAAGCACTTGAAACTGTTTTTTTTTTTTTGTCTTCTTTTGGATCAACAGCAAAAACAATAACTATGTAACAATGTAAATCCATCATTCATGGCTCTGTTGACACTTTGCTCAGAGGTACAGTATGTCCTCTACATTAAGAACATAGTAATGAGTCTGATCTGTGTCTGAAGTGAGCAAAGAAAATGCATGTATGCATGCATATAGTGATGTCCTGAACGGTTTGCCGAACGGTTCGCGAACAGTTCGCCACGAATGGTTCGCCACGGACTCATCATTGAGTAAACTTTGACCCTGTACCTCACAGTCAGCAGACACATTCCAGCCAATCAGCAGCAGACCCTCCCTCCCAGACCCTCCCACCTCCTGGACAGCATCCATTTTACATTCATTGTGAAGCTGCACTATTAGTGAGCTGTCCAGGAGGTGGGATGGTCTGGGAGGGAGGGTCTGCTGCTGATTGGCTGGAATGTGTCTGCTGACTGTGAGGTACAGGGTCAAAGTTTACTCAATGATGAGTCCACGGCGAACCGTTCGGCGAACCATTCGGGACATCACTACATGCATACATAACACATAAAATAGTTTTGTGACATGCAAATGTAGCAAAGTAGATGTGGGTCTGTAAATAATGACAATTATGGGTTAGTAAGTTAGTAAGTACTTGTGTTAGGTAATGTATCGTTTTTTAACCTTATATTTTTTGAACCTTGGATAAAAACACATGCTACCAAATTAATATTTAGTTTCTTTATATTGCGACATTTAGTGTCATCTAACAGAGAAATTTATTATACTCCCTGAACTCACTACGACCTCAGTACCTCAAAAAAAAATGTGCTGCATGTCTATACTCATGAGTTATTTACGTTGTAGATCTTGTAATGCTAAACGCATTTCAGTTTACACAAAATATCATAACCAAACATATATGCCATAAATATTAGTAAGATTTTTTTTAAAGTGTATCAATATTGCGATTATGATATATTCTTCAGTCCATTTCACTAGTGAATAAGTGGTCATAGAGTATATAGATTAATTCTGAAAAGGCAGCACCTACCTCTTCTTATAGGAAATTTCAGGATGTGGGACGCATCTCCCCTTCAGGCTCAAGAAGAAACTCCCAGCTACTCATCCTCAACCTTTTCTCAGAAAGGTATTCCATCTGCAGTACAGAGGATTTAGTATAAAATAAAATCACTGATTGGTGTTCACAAATCAAGGAATTAAGAAATTCTACTGGGTTCTTTTTTTTCAACCACGAAAATCCGGGTGTTTTATGTTTCAACCTTTTTATCTCTACCTTAACTCATGAAGGACACTTGATGGGTTTCTCCTTTGCTCTATACCTCACAGCTACTTCAAATGATTTATTTCTTGTGAAAATAAAACATCTCACCAATTATAATGGCCAGATATTTTCAATTATATTGAAGCTTACAGATGTAGCAAAAATGCATCATTGAATAGACACACCGATATATTTCACTTTTATAGCATTGAAATGGGCATACGAACAATGTTATGGTTAATATCTCAAATGCTGCACAATTACCACTCAATGAAACTCAAGAACATTCATTACAGTGAAATGTTTCCATACTTTATACATAAATAACTAAACTAAATGGAGAAATTGTCACTTGTAACATTTATTTAATTAGCTATCACAGGAGAATGCATTACAGTCAAAATTTACATTTGCATTACACTACAAGTAGTACCAAGTTGTAAAACCGTCTATGTTATTTTACCCTTCACAAAAGTTCAGGTAAGATTGTAGTCACTGAGTAGTAAGGCGAGAAGACTGTAACTTAAAATTACTTTTAGACTTATTCTTCATGATTCACTTACTTGGTTTTCTGGGCTGCTTGCCTTTGACTTTAAATCGGAATGATTTAAAGCAACTTTCTTCATTACTATTCTTTGCATGGTTCAAATTAATTAAAAAACTGATGAACACAATATGAGTATCTGAATATAATTTTGTTTACCTAATAGGCACCAGTCCAGCTCCATCATTCCAGTATTCCTCCACTGTGACATCCACAGAGTCCACCGGTCAACAAGAGAACCCCTTTAACATGAATGGTTTGTGTTTTCTTTAAATAATTAATAGTACTAAGCTCAGTTGTAATATTTGGGTGAATTTACTAGCTGCATGAAGAAATGGCATATCTGATAAAAGGAAAAAAACAATATAAAACGTAATGATTCTTTCCCCCATGACATGACCCCTGAAAGTCAGAAAGAAACCTCCATTATATTTATTAGCGTGACTCATGGTCCACCATCTAAGTGCAAAGCATTCCAGCATACATTTTATCCTATTGTAAGCACCAATTTTGCACATCTGCAAATATATGGTGTAAAAGTCAAATTATTTTATTATTGGTATATGGAGTTTGGGGATCCGATGCCATGTAATTCTATTACACTCCAGCCCCTTTAGCAGGGGGTGCAGGAAGGTGTAGACTGTTCATAGGGGTACTACTTGTATGTTATTTTTCTCCACATATACACTGGGTCAAGGAACATTCTGTGAGTCCTTCTGCTTAATCTTGGGGACACCATGCCATTTATCAGCCCTGTCTGCATCACAGATCATTGTGTTGTTCTCTTTGTGTTGGATTGGTCCATGTCTTGTCAAAAACTTGACTGTCAGGTCCACCATCAGGGACATCACATGCAGTATTCCTTGTAAGGAGAACTTTGAAATTAGTGGACATGCTAGAACAATTTAATGTTATACCTTGAAGTGGGTCCCGTACCCAAGAGCACTGTCTAGTCTCTTTGAGCTCTGAGACAGCTCTGGGAGGATGTCCTGTCCTTTCGCTAATTTGCAGAGGATAACTACTGGTGTGCAAGAGGAGGACCCTGCACTAGCACTTTCCAATCTGGACCAAAAGGAAGGAAAATAGGAGGGTGGCTAAAACCCATATATCATTAACATTTTAATTTATGTTTCTTTGGGAGTGTATTTTTATATGTGTTTGTGTCTGGTTGTATATTTCTATGCATGACTGGCAGTATGAATGCATTTGGGATTGCGTATCTAGTTGAGCGTATGTAAGTATTGGTGTATTTTTGTGAATTTGTACCTGGTTGAGTTTGTACACATTTCTGGAACTGTATTATTGGATGAATGGCCATTGCTTTTTTTAAACTGTCCAAATTTTTTTCTCTATAATTGGAAGCCTTTTTAACACTATAATGGTAGACACGCACTAGATATTAAATATTATTTTGAGATCAATTTTGGCGCTTTAGGCTCTTTAGTGATGTCTATCTATTTATAAGAACAGCTTCTATTTCTGATTGTCTTGCATTGTCTTAGATTCATTAGGAATGCGTGGATGATTACACGTGTTTGAAATTGCTAGAAGTGAAGAAAGTTTGATAAGAACATTTTCTAAACTAAATGAAAGCACAACAAGCAGAAAATATAGGAGAACATTATTATTGAGCAATTTTATAGAATTTGTGGGTACAAAGTATACTGTTCAATAATATTTATTAAATTGCAAAGCAAAATTTTAAAATATAGCTGAATTAGTGCAAAACACTTTAACTGAGTTATGAAGGCTGCCAATGTATGTAGTAATCCACTATTAGTTTATTTATTTAAGAGCTAATTAAACTGATTTATCTACCATCTAAAATGTGTACATTGTGTTCTTCCACAAATTATTATTTCTGTCATTCTGTATATCTGGGGACAAAAATGACATGAATATCCTTATTCTTACTGTCTTATGAGTGAAATGTGAATGTATAAATTAGAGTCAAACAGGTAGACAAGCTAACTAAAAATTCAACCAAGCCGTAGTTACGAATATTACTTTTGTAGAAAGCTTATTTATTCAATCGAGTAAGTGTGGTAATATATTAAGTGCACAGACTCACTTATTTTTGTAAGAATTACCAAAGGGCTATGTAAGACATCTTGAATCATGCCGTGATGGTCCCAATGGTGGGAGCTGAGATATGCATTATGCTTGCTCCTTAACTTTTGACTCACCCTGGATGCTCATTAGGCTATTTTTCATTACTCTAACATTACTTTTCTTTTTCATGTAGTGTATCCAATGATGTCAAGGCACCAACCTACTAAGCCTTTGCCCCAAACATGGAAATCCTCCAAGCAGAGCCTACTGGTGAGTTTGTTTGACATTTACATGATTACTTGGGTGAAGACCTCATTTAATTCTGTTCACTAGCACAGGCAAAACAAATCTATACATATGTAACTACCAAATGTGAAGTATTTTTGTAACTCTTATGGTGAATTTGTTACAGTGAATGTGTGTTGATTTGGTTGTACATGGAACAATTCTGCATGAATTTATCATACATGCCATACAAATAGTTTGGACATAAAATGAGGAAGGTGACATCCTATAGTGAGGGAGTGGGATTTGGGTGCTAGGAAGTACTAAAGGAAAAAAAGAACAGTAAGCCATCTCAATTAATTAAGTGATTTAATTCTGGAAAAAGTGTAAGAATATGTTAGAAATATTTTAAAATTCTAAAGATAACAAATGCAATTTGTTATTTATATAAGACTATTTGTAAGGTGTTATGTAATATCAAGCTGATATGATAATGTCTGCTAACAATTTTACAGTCTAACCCAATTAAGAGGCCTATTAGTAAGTTAGAATTTAGTTTTAGTACAGATATGAAAATTCTTTCAGTTTTTTTAACATAGATATTGTGTTTTATTTTTTTTTCAGACTCAACAACGCCCTTTTTATGTCAACAAGGGAAATGCTGCAAACACTGAGTCTCCGTGAATCTCTGTAGTCATCTGAATAAAACATGTGTGGATGATAATAACGTTCTAATATCACTATGTAGATTTACTGAGCTGGAGGCAAAACGAGAGGGGTACAGAGGGCTCTGATTAACATTTTCTTTGCCACTGAAATGATAAAAAATTTACTATGTTTAAATATGAGTACCAAAGCATGTTTTAATCTTGCCTCTAGCAATAATCAGGTATTTGAATTGGGTTGGGTAAACCATTTATTTTCAAATGAACCAAAGCAAATAGGAAAGATTGAATTGATTAATTCAATGTTACAATAACCCTCTGTCTATGTATATTCTTTTTATCATTTATTCTTAATATATCCTTAAACGAAGTGATAGAAGACATGATATAAAAAAAAAAGATTCACTTATTTGCAATTTACAATAATTCACCAAAAGTGTTTTAGATTTATGTAGCCATGTGACATCATCTCTATATTACATGTTTCTCGAGAAGTCTGAGTTTTAAAATACTGACTTGGGATTTTTGTTTATTGTTGTCTTTCTTAAGACCTTTTAGCCAAATGTCCTTAATAACATTTATAAGTACAAAGCACATCGAAAAACTGACTATCTCATAGAATCCTAACCTGTGTTTCTGAATTATGTATTTGATGTATGTAATTTTGAAAACATTATGTCAGATAAATTAAATAACATATAATTGAAAAAAGTAGATATACTTTCTAGATTAAGGATCTATATTATGCAGACATAAAGAACAATATTTTTAGCACAGCTTCATTGGAAAATAATCTTCGCAGTTTAGAAGATGCTGCCTTGGTTTTCCTCTCTCCAGATTGCCTTGGTGAAATTATAAAATCAATTTCAGTATTACAAGATTTATTTGTCTCCTGCATCGTTGGATGAAAAAAAGCTTCAATATTTTGTTTCACTGCATGTTCTGGAAAACAAATTGCTACATTTTTCTCCATATTGGCAATATACAGTTTCAAAATATTTTCATTGTGTCTGTCTGGGGTAAATTGAAAGAAAATTAGGACTGGTCTGCATTAGACTGAAATATTTTCTTGTGCTTAACATTTCCATTGAGATAGGTAAAAACAAAAAAAAGAGAAATATTGGTTTCTTTGTCTTCTTTGTCACAAATTACTCTTTCTATGGGATATAAAAGAGCAAACTGCAGTACGAACATAAGCTAATTCTTACATTTTCAATCTCCAAATTTATAGGTTTTCTTTGCATTCCTACTGGCATTTCAAATGCACTTTATTTGAGCCACGTATGTTATCTAAAAATGCCATTAGCTACAAACATTGCTAGCAGATTTACAAGTAACAAAAAAAATTAATACAAATTATAGTACAAATAAATGTAGGTCACATAAGGCACATATTATTAAGGTAGCAGGAGGCAAATGGACTGTTAATTATATGGTCATAGCTCCTTTGACAGGTTACATTAGCAAGAAATGTGAACACCCATCATTTATTTTACCAATATGGAACAAACCCTGCTGATGTGAATAATATATCTCCCTGCTTATCCCCTTTGGGGACATCTTCAGGAACACCAACAAGTTATCATCAGTACCTGCCGCCCCTGCAATATATGTAGCTTTATTTTCTCTGTGGCTCAAAATAAAGGGACACTACATTGTAAATTTGCAGATTTTTTTAATACATTGAAAAAATATATAGCAAAAATATCTGTATTCTAAATAATCCACAAAGTTTCTTAAAGTGGCTTTGTCACCCTCTCCTCTAAAATGAGTATTAAATAAAGACACAATCTTAATGAAATACTCATATTGACATTGTTGCAATTGCACTGAAATTCCAACGTAGTCCAAACATGTACTAAGGTGAAGTATGGACTACTTTGTCTTAGTACATTTCCTATGCCTGTCAAAACTTGACAATAGACCAAGCTACTAACATAAAGTGGTCATTTTCCCAGCCGTTGCTGTAGTGATGGCTGTAGGGAGGATCCCTATGGAGGATCCCATGGTTTTGCACGATCCTCCATAGACCATATTGCAAGCATGATTGTACAACACTCACATAGGCGCCTTGCATATGTAGCCCTAGGAGCTGAAGAGGATTAACCAGATTAAGAAGGCAGCAGCTGTGAGGGACAGGTTCAGGTGAGCAAAACACACCTTTCCCTGCAGCCCATGTGCGATGTGATGCAAGAAGCACAGTCACCATTGGGAGTTTTTGCAAAATATGTACAGACCCCAGATGGTGACAGAGCTATGTAAAGTCTCTCTCTATTAAGTATCTCTCTTAAGAGCCATCTTGTCTCTCTCTGTTGGAGGATAACTGACCATACACATATACCTGATATCACCTGTACTCATGCTCAGTAATTTTCTTATTTACTTGTGCTTCCATTAACTTGCCAGTTATATAATTTTAAGTTAAAGTTAAAAGGTTTTTCGATTGGATATGTATGCTGTTCTCATTCACTTAAATGGAGAAGGGTTGTTCAGAGGCCCAAGAGAACAGTTCTACTTTATACTCTGGTTAGGTATCTCAACACCACCACAATAAAAAAAAAAAAAAATTTTTTGTATTTTTGGTGTCTAGAATATATATTAAAATCAAACTTTACCTATGAATGTTCACATCTATATCTATATCTGATGTTAACAGCTTATTTTAGAAGACAGCTAAGACACAATGACATATTTATTCGATAAAAAAAATAGCAGAATATTTATTATTAATATTAACTAAAAAAGTCATGACCTGTAAATCACCACACAGTTTAAAAAGAACCTCATAACATTTAAGGTAAACAGGTGTGGTGAGGAAGTCAGCTATTTAGGGAATATGGGCTTTACTACACAAAGTACTGTGACATTAACGTAGTCTTCTTTAAAGAAAATAAAAACTTGAATGTTCGTCATCTTAACCCGTAACTTTCAAAGCCTGACTAATAGTCTCATCATTCTTTTTATAATCTTAGAGTTTCAAAATGCATGGGAATAATAAAGTATTTAAGTCTAGCACATCCTCATTCATATTGTGTTTCATAAACAACATATCACTCAGGAAGTACAGGTGGTGCTATCTAAAAAGTAAAAGATGGCATTCCTCTTGATACAGGTAGCATAATTGCCAAGGAATTTAAATTCTTTTAGAACTCTTTTTCTCTTTCAAACTAAATTTCAGGGACATATGACATGGAAAATAAATTGACTGGGTACCAGTAGGCCTAAGAGCCTTTGGTCAGTTCACAAAATGTCCAGGTATCTTTGTTATTCTCTGGCTGTATTGCCTTTCATGTAACTCATTGATTTCCTTTCCAAATATGTGTGTCTCAGAGGAAATCGGTTTTAAATCAAAATATGTATGTCAGAGCATTAGCGATTTGTCCTACAAATCTTAATATTAAATCTAATATTGGTTTTCAGAATTGTTTTCTTTGACTTTCTACTTGTCATCCTTGTGAAAGTTATTTTGCAAATCCATTAATAGTTTTAGAAAATAAAGTAATATTGACTCTTTTCCCATCAGTCTTAGATGCTAGAAGGTACTTGTTTTTCTTATTAATTATTAGCAATTAATTATTGCTATCAATGATCTCACTGTCAGTCTTGAAACAGCTTTTATCTTTATATTCAGAAAAACAAATCCACTACATTTAACATGTCATTGACATTTTTAATAGTATATAGACTATATTTCTGAACAGCATGGGATAGCTTGTAGCATTAAATTCCGATATTTTTTATGGTGTCATTTAAAAAGAGCATTTGCCTTTTGGCAACCTCATTTGTATTTTATTTTTCAATGCTTTGAGTACCTAACTAGAAAAATAAACACATTTATGTGCACCATAACTTTCAGTGATTTTCTTTCATTCACATAGTTGTCTGTTACAAATATAAACAAAAACGGATAAAATGTTTTGTAGACTGTTTAAACAACCATTTTATTACTATGATATCATTCTTCTCTCTTAGCAAAAATAATTAAAAATTGAAATGTCTCTTAGTTGCGCTGTAAAAAAACTATAAAAATTCCGGCTTCACATGTTATATTTTATATCTTTTGAATTTCTTCTTTCTTGTATTCTACAGTAGTTTCATTTCTATTCTATTCATTGGGTATTATTTGTTTCTCTTTATATTCTGCTTTATAAAATCCACTCTCTGGAATGGGTTATAATAATTCATGGCAATGGTTTCTAAGCAATAAAGTGTGGTTGGAACACACACACAAAATTTATAAGGAACTGCAAGTACTCTCTTGCCACAAATTCTAATAGCCACAAATGGAAATAATAGCACAGCACTTCTCAAGTGATGATGATCTGTAATTCAAGGCAATTTAGAGGTGACATTTCAAACTAAAGGTGTCTTTTACAAGTATGAGATAGAAGTGTTGTGTTAAAACATTGTCACTTTGCTTCCTAAATAAAGGATTGCTCAAATTTCAGAAAACTATTTTTTTGTAGACAAGATTTTCCAAGAGGTCCATAATATAAAATTTCCAGATATCTGTTTTTGGTATATCATGAAAAAAAATCTCAGTGATGAGTTGTGTGATCTTCAAATAAACTTGCAACGCTACATGTCTGCAAGCATGCAAAGTAAATGGAGGTCATGTCTATTTTCTTTGAATGATTTAGCAATAACTCTGTATCTTGTGTGTTACTCTGCATCAAAGCGTTTCTTTTCTCTATACTGTATTTTAAGAAAGTACTGTCTCCTTAATTATTAAGCTGTTTATCTCAGTAAACGTTTTGTTGAATGTGGTGGTTCAGGATTTTACAATTCCATGTATTTGTTTTTCAGTTTATATCCAGTTGTAATTAAACTTTCAATGGGATGTATAAGGAATCCGTGCTATGTTTTGTTATAAAAAAAAAAATAGTAAAAACATGCATCTAGCAAGGTCTGGAGAACTTTCATAATAGTTCTACCACAAAAATGGTTTGTCTGTCACACCACAAAAAAAAATAATATACTACCAAAAAAAATAAAAAGTACTTATGGTAAAATGAGGAAAATGGATCATTTACTTTTTCCTTTACTTAGGTTACAACTATATTTACATCCAACATATAATTAAAAAGTGTTGGATTGTGCATAGATATGTTTCATTTGTTTAATTATTCATTCTCATTCCATATATGAAAAACTGTCATTACACATCTTAAGGAGCTGACAATAAGCTTATTTTTTTTCACAATGTATATATATTGCTATTATGAATTTTTAAATAATACAGACAAAAAAAATTATGTGACCATAAAAAAGACATGCCTTTGATTATACTCGTACTTGACAATGGAACTTAGTAATGAACAAAGAAATCAGATATTGTTAATCAATCAAGGTGCAGGGTTTGCCTGCTCCCCCAAGTTAGTGTTAAGTGTTTGTAGGAATTCAGTGATAAAACTGCCATTTTTTCATACCAATAAATAACTAATACGGTCTTCAACATGAATGGTTATAGTAGGGGCTAGTGGTTGCTTGAGTTTTTGCAGCCACCAGAATATTTACGACCATGCATTTAAGTAGACCCTGAAGGGAGGCAGGAAGCTTATCAACTAAGTAAAATTCAGGTGAAAGGGCTGGGTGGATCTGCATGAGCAGTTGTATAATATCTTGGATGTTAATCCACACCTTTTGGAGCAATAAGCATGACCAAATATATGTAAAAGGGATCCAATAGATCTGTACAACTCCAGCACCTGGGAAGGGACAACCCTGGATAAATCGATAAATCTTGTAAAGGCGCTTTGGTACCATGTACCAGCGCATTAGGAGGTACATTGCTCAGGGAAGGGCAACATCTTTTACCTATTTTTATCTAAGCTTGGAATAATCAAGAAACATTTACGAAAGTACAGTTTATTAAATAAAGATCGGATGATGACTGAGACAGGGTTGGGAGCATTGAAAACAATAGGAGTGAAGTAGAACCCAGAAATGTAGCCATCTTTGGTGACTAAATATTTAGGAAAAATTTGTTTCAATGCAGCATAGAAAAAGTGCCAGCTCTATGTATATGTGAAAAGCCAAAGGACCTATTGGAGAAAGTACAGAGCTAGTAAACAATTTTTAGTTAGCAGTCACTGTAGGGTCTTGAGGGACACAACAACCAAGAGAATTATGTCAAAGTATAAAGCAGTCATGTGACTCTTACAAATGTGGTGGTTAGTAGTTCTTTTCCAAATATGCCTGTTGAATAACTGAAATTGCTACATTTGAAGGAAGGAAGGGGAATTGGCAGATTATGAAATAGGTACAACACTTGAATGGAAGCATAAACATTTTGACCAAGGTCATATGGCCCTGCCACAACACCTTGTTGCATTTCTTATTTGATTAACCAATTTTATATGGTTTACTTAAATACATGAGTGGGGGAGGATATGGTAAGCTGAACCCCGAAGTATGAAAGATTCTATCTTTATGAAATACTTATTTTTCAGGGTGGGATGACAGTGCTGCTATAAATGGGGATCTGTACAAAGCAGGAAAACAGATTGTGAACTTCACCACAGACATATGGAGTTGTCCTAGCTCACCGTATAGTTTCTTGTCTCTAATGGCATAGTGGCAGTGAAATGTCCCCTGTGCAGCAGGAGGCCCATCAGGTGATACGGCTGTTAACAGTGCATGGTTATTATTATTATTCATGTTCCTAAATAACAACATGGAAGCAATCTTACAGAGTCTTAAGATTGAACCTGGAAAGAGGCTACATCCAAACAAGGCAGGTTTTAAAAGGAGCTTGAAGATGGAATTGAAAGATTGCATGTATAAAATGATGGACACCACTCCACAGTTAATGCAGGCCACCATTTGTGTTTCAAGAATATAGGGCAATCTGCCTATGTAGAAAGACAGACTAGTTAATAAAGTGTATGAGATGGAGAGAAAGAGGTGTATGGTAGTGTCAGCCATGCTACCTAATCAACGCACATGGCATGAGTGAGAATGGTAAAATGCCATGCTGAATGAATACTAAGTGTAACAGGCTGCATCTGCCACTGTATCTGTGATGTTGGGCCATTGGTGTCTGAAGACTCACATCCAAAGGCTGCTGCTGCTCTAAGTGAACCCCTTTTCTGCCAGTCTGCCACCTCTGTCCCTGGGTGGCTTACTTCCAAAGGTTTCAGCTCCGGTTCTGAGTAACAAATGAAAATGTTCCTATTGAGGTGTAGTTGAGACACAGCAAGGCACACCATTAATCTAACCAGTTTTACATCTGGAAACTCAGCAAGGCACATCATTAATCTAATCAGTTTCACATCTGGAAGAAATGACCCAGGCTATCAATCTCCCACTCATTGTTGGTGTAAGTAACACTGGCAGTGACTAGGCACAGCAATAGCTGAACCAGTCTCACACTAGCGTCAATGACCCAGGCTATCAATCTCCCACTCAGAGTTGGTGTAAATAGCACTTCCAGCGACTAGGCACAGCAGCAGCTGAACCAGTCTCACACTAGCATCAATGACCCATGCTATCAATCTCCCAATCAGAGTTGGTGTAAGTAACACTGGCAACAGCTAGGCTATCACTGTAGCACTGCAATGTTTTGTTAACTTTATTGCAGGGAGCGCTCTTATTATTTTTAAAAAAAGTTACTGCCCGACCGTTTGCTCAGATATTGGATTTGATTGACATTTGAGGACATAATTATACATTATAGGGATAGAGTGTTTAGTGTGCCGACCAAGATCAAAATTCTTCCTTTCTTATCTGTGTATCTACATTTCAAGGTGAATATCCAGTCTCTATGAAAAAGAATTGAAACCTATTTAGTTGGTGCTTGTCCATGGTATCTGATATGGTTATTATTGATTTTAAATGTGGGGATTTTTGTTATCCATCCAAGCAATCAGACACCAACACAACATGCAAACACACCCCTGCAATCTAACACACTTTGGGGGCCCATCAGGTGACCCATGCAATTAGTGCCACCTGATGGGTATTGCTGAACAGGGGCCAGTCAGGTGCCATCGCCCTTTAAAGTGCGACAGGACCCCTATAGAATCGTCAGCCTTTGAGGAACCGAAATCCGATCAGCATTATATGGTATATATTTATGTGTTTATGCTTCTATCATATTATTTTGCCTTAATAAAACTAACCCTTATATATAGTCTCATACTATCCCCTTCATATGTTCACAAACATTATGTTCCATATATTTCCCAATTCATGTATTTATTTGTCTATTATATCTGCTTTTTATTCCTCCCTTCTCTTTCATTTCTTTTTTACAATTAAATATTGAGAGCTGTGCTATATAAGGTTAAATCATGTTAGAAACCCACATTTACCGTGGTTTTAAACCTTTTTTGTTACTATGGTAACACAAGTCGTGTCTTATGATGCAATCACGTGCCCCATTAGCCGCAAGGCATTATGGACTTACGTCCGTGGCATTTTTCACTCAAATCTTTTTCCCACTATTTTGTTGAGATTGCTTTTACATTAGCACCCCGATCTCACAGTATACTTAGAGCCTCAAGTCTCCCATTGATCGGGAGAATCAGCCAATTAGGAGATTGGCATATATGCAAGTTTCTGTTTATTATGTGACGCCTCCAGGTGGTGGGCACATTATCTGAAAGACATTCCCCTCTTTCCAATGCCCAACTGCAATTTGCAACCACAACCCCGTGATCGTGGTTCCACTCAATAAGGCATTATGGGAATAGTAGTTTTAGCTCATTCCACAACTTGTTTTCACTATCTATTCACTATAAAAAAAGGTAATAACTAACAAAATTATTTGGTGTGTAGTAAGTTTGATTCTGCTTTTAGCAGATTTAAAGCTATACACCTCATATATACAAGTGCTGCGTTTCTCCTGAACAATCAGGATATATAAAAGCCTTTCTAAGTGAACTGACTCCTGGACCCATTGCACCGAACTTTAGGTGCAAACCAAACCACTTTATCTTTTAGGCAGAGCATTTGGTGATACTTCTGCATATATCCAGTTTGAGACATTTCACTATAAGTCAGACTCCCTCATTCTTGTGTGTTGCAATAGGCATACCAGACCAATTTGATTCTAACATTAGTGTACCTGTAATATACTAGAACTGCTACTATTTATACTTATTCAATAAAGATGTTATTTGATAATTATGTTTGCTTTATACATCTGCCATGAATTAACCTCACATGTGTTGTAATGGTCATAGTGACCTGGATAATGCTATAACCCTGCCTTTTTAGAATTGTTTGTACTTTTAGATGCTCTATAAATAGGACTACATACAGGGCTCTTTGTCACTTGAAAAGACTAGTAGGTGAAACGCATTGTGATTGAGATTGAAAAATATTTTATTTTTATTTATTTTTTTACATATTTCCTGGTAAATTTCAATAAAAGTTGGTTTTACCATTCAATATGCTTCTGCTTTTTTCTTTTGAATACCTTATTCATTTGCAAAGCACTCACTGACACTACTGCACCTTATGCACTTACCCTTATAAATGCCAAGTGGGGTTTGTACCACCCATGCTGTTTCCAACGAGCATGTGCATGCTGCTTTAAATATAAGTACATTACCTTCAAATTTGCAAATTATACTTTTTAATACTGTGACGAAGTGCCCTTCGCCACTTGGTCCTGGAGAGGCCTACTTGCCAGCCTCCTCCCCTGTGACTATGACTCTTTGATGTATTTGGCTTTAAAGCCCCTAGTCTACCTTCAGACAGACTATTTATGTAGGCTGCTTTATTTCTCTTATGTTTTAGTCACCCTGTACCCATTATAGGTGCAGGGTGTGTGTAATGTAATTGTTTACAGTGTGTGTGTGTGTGTATGTACTGTGTAATGTATTGCCTTCTCTCCTGTACTGCTGAGGTTTGCTACCAACTAGGTGGGTTTGGCTATGGAGCTTGTCTAGTGCCCTCTGTTGGTAGCAACAGCAATATGCACTACCTGAATTGCAAGACTGGTTTATTTGCATATTCGGGTAGATTTGCATATTGCTAATTCTGCAGGCAGGTGAGATATTTACTGTTAAATATTGTCTCCCCCCACCCCTTTAAAAATGTGCCATTGTGTTGTGATAAGTCACTGTGTGTTGCTTGATTTGGTTTGACTGTTTGTGATTTTATTGAGTTTTCACAACAATGTTATTGTGGTGACCCTATTGGCTGGTCCCAAGGGAATAAAGGTTTTGACAGTTCTTCTTGATTCCTCTAAATGTAGCCTTGTCTCGTTATTGGAGGGAGCTGTTATAATCACACTGGGGATTGCTATGCTCTGCATGCTCCCCTGAGCTTGAGTCACTTAGCTCTTTTAAGAGCTTGTTCCTGACACGCTCTCCTTGGAGGAGGGGTCTTCACCACACAGTCCTGGAGGACAGAAGCTGATCCAGGGTGGAAGGAAGACGGCGAGACTCCAGTCAAGATACGGCGGTTGCGGAGTCTGCGGTGGTTGTGGTGTCTGCTGCAGTGCTTGGGAGTCCTCAGGAAGCGCTAGGAGCATCCGTCAACGGAGGGTACTCGGTCGGAGTACAGGGAGCTCCGTTACAAATACTAACATAAATCAATTTTTTTTCTTTATTTCTGTTAAATACTTTATGTTGAAATACAGAGGCACATTCATTCCAAGCAATATCCACGAGGATTATAACACTTCATGAGTTGAAATGGAAGCTCTTTGTTTGTGAGTGCATTTTATCTTCTTTTATAAATACTCTTTAGTTGTTTTTACTGGATCACACTATTGGATTCTTCTCTACCTTTATGTTTTCCATGTGAGATGCGCATTTTCAGAAAGTGTCATAGGACATACCTGATTAATTGATTTTCCACCACATATCATGTGATAAGGATTGTATTGTCAGATGCTGAAGTATTAGAGGTAATATATAGCTCCTTGTTTGTGAGTGTATTTTCAATTGTCTTTTTTCTGCCCTTGTTGCTTACAATATCACACTATTTTGTTCTTTTTGTTGTTTACTGTCATTTCATATTATGGAACCTGTCTAAATTGGTGAATATATTGAACCACGTACCATATTCATCGTACTTATCAAGAACTCGTTTGTCAACCAAGAACTATCTTTGGGACTATCTTGGGTATATTTTAGCACCTTTCATTATTTTGCTATCAAGAACTAACATAATTACATTGCTTTTTGGTACAACCTGTTTTTCTTATGACAATTTACTTAGTGAATACCAGGGCGAACTGTCAACTAGAATCAATGTGTTGGCTTTAGACAGAGGGAGGTTTACTATAAAATCCATGGAAAGACATGTCCATGGTTTATTTGGAGCAGTCGATGGTTGGAGAAGGCCACAAGGTAAGGCACAGAAGCAACAGGCTGTCTCACATGAGACTGATATAAAGACTACCAAATTGTCTAGCAACAGCAGTGATTCTTTTGTTAATGCCAGGGTGTCCAGACAGTTTACTGGAGTGTAATTGGAACAACAGTTCCACTGGGTTACAATAAAGTATTAAACAACTTTTGGGGCAGGTTCGGGTTCAGGGCTTGTGCATGTTCCAAATGTAATGACTTTATTTGCACATGTGTAGCTGCTGCTTTTTTCTCATGTATTACAGAAATCCAACCTGATTAATTGTTTTCACAAGGTTCATAATGTCTGCATAATACAACAGGCATGGTATTTTTACAGGCTGGTCTGTAAAAGATTAAAAGGATTCTCTAGTGTAAGTAAAACAAACATGTTTTCCTGGCACTGTAGAATCTTGAAGGGCCCCCTCCCTCCTGCTCCTCATCCCACATCGCTAAAGGGGTTAGCTAAAAAAGACAGGACATTCTTAATTTATTTGCAGTAGTTAATCGAGAAGCCAATAAAACTCTGTATTGCCTTAAGGACATAAGGGCCCTCCCATGACAACTTGTAATTTCTTGGGATCCATTTGAATCCCAGAAATTTAACTTGTGACTGGTTCAATAGATGCTTTTACAGTTTGCAACAGAGACCAGTTTGCACATGTTTATGGTGAGCTTTCAGGTCAGGAGAGTCGCCAAAGAAATTGTCTAGGTAAACAATAATCAAACTGTGTATATATCCTATTAACACATTGTTTATGAAGCCCTGGAATACAGCAGTGGTAATACATAAACCAAATGGCATGACGGTATATTTGTAATTCTGGCTTCTGGTAATAAAACACTTTCTTCCATTCATCTCCTTCTTTCATTCTGACCATGTTATATGCCCTCTCAGGTCATGTTTGACAAACACTGTTGAGTTACACAGCCTATTAAACAATTTGGTTATGAGGGGAATTGGATAAGTCTTCTTAACAGATATTTTATTCAATCTTCTATAATCAATACACAATTTCAAAGTCCCTTCTTTCTTTGAGACAAAAAAGTATCCTGCTCCCACAGGAGAGAATGACCTTCTGATAAACCCCTTAGTAATGGTATCTGCAATTTACTTCTCCATTATCAGATTTTTCTTAAGCGATAATGGATAAACATTACTACAAGATGGCTTGGTACATCGGAAGGACTCTGGCACAATCGTATGTCCTATTTGGTAGCAACTTGAGGAAGAATTTCTGTGTGTGAGACCCAGCAGGGGGTATATTAAGCATGTGCACATGTCTCACTAGGTTTTCACAATCTCCCTGACAGTTATTAATTCAAGCAACTATTTGCCATACCTCCCAATTTATCAGAGAATCTAGGTTTGAGAACCATTGAAGTTTATGGAAAATTATAGAAAAGGCAAGACAGGATATAGCCTTCAATATAATTGTTTCAGAATGTAACAATCCCATGGTTAGAGTCAGGGATAAGGTTTCTTGTGAGATTGTAGGGATTGCCAATGGTCTACCATGGTCTACCATCACTTTGGCCAAGAGTGTTTCCTTGTCTTTTGGGGGAGATAGAAGTAGCAAATAATACATCAAAAAAATTCTTGGTGGGACAGGAATCAACTAATTATCCCAGAACAAAGTTATAGGAAGTAGAAACTGATGTAAGGTGAATTTGGAGTACATAGTCTAAACACCCAAGGCTGTCCTTTTTTACTGCAATAAAGAAGTAAACCCACTTAACTCATAAACTGCTTCTCTTTTTTAGACAGTTTAGTAAGGCCTAATTGCATGGGTTCAAGTGATGTTACTGTGATTATGTTACTGAAACATTAGGAGCTTGCTTAAACGGTTGTTTTCTAGCTTTACCCTTGTTCTTATGTTTTATATTTTTTGATTAATTATTATTATTATTATTATTATTATGATATTTATAGAGCGCCGTAAATGTCCGCAGCACTTGGGTAGACGAACAGACATGTAGTTGTAACCAGACAAGCTGGACACACAGGAACAGAGGGGTTGAGGGCCCTGCTCAATGAGCTTACATGCTAGAGGGAGTGGGGTAAAATTACACAAAAAGGTAAGGATAGTATTAGACTAGTGACAGTTGCAGAAGAGGAATCAGTCAGGAGCTATTAACAATTTAATTGATACGCTTTTATGAAGAAGTTGGTTTTTAACGATTTTTTGAAGGAGTGGAGACTGGGTGAGCATCTAACGGAGGAGGGAAGCGAGTTCCACAGGAACGGTGCAGCCCTCGAGAAATCTTGAAGGCGAGCATCAGAGGTGGACATACTTGTGTATAAGGGAGGATAGATAGGTGGGAGCAGCATTATATAGAGATTTGAAAGCAAGAACCAGAATTTTAAATTGAGCTCTATATTTTATAGGAACCCAATGTAGGGACTGACAGAGGGTGAGGCATGGGAGGTGCGGGCGGACAGGAAGATGAGCCTCG